TTCCCCCCCCCCCCCCTACCCGGTGCAGAGACGCTACGAAGGACGTCCGGCTGATTGCGGTGCCCGTCGCGTCTGCTGCCGGAGATCGCACTTATCCGTGCCACGCCCGCAACCCGGTCAATGTGGAGTGAAGAATACGCACGGCGTCAACGGCCGCATCAAAACCCCCGTCTACGTCGACGGAGACTCGGAATTCGGTATGCGGTCTTTTATGTTACTCCAACCGCCCGGCTAGTTCTCAGTCGAACGGTGAAAAAGCAATCGCCGTTTCCCTCCAGTCGAGGTGGTTACGTATTTGCTGTCGGAGTTTTTGGATTCGAGACGCGTCTTTTGGGGATTTTTCAGGAAGGGTCGAGTTATCGGGCAGTTGATACTCTTTTTTGTACGGTGATCGTTGATTATACCGGGTGTCCTGAACTAATCTCGGTTCCCGTGCAAATGGATCGGGTGAGCGGGAAAGTATTCTATACCGTTTTGCAAAGGAAACACGCACAGTTTCGAGTAATCAGCGATTGAAAATGGTCGTTTAGAGGCTTTTTTAATTAATAATTCAAGAGTTTGCGTGTTATTTGCAAAATGGGACTTTTCGGCTCAATTTCACCCGTCCTACTTGCGCACCACGAGAACCGAGATTAGTTTGGGACATCCTGTACATGCTAAAAAAATTAATAAGAAGGTTTAAGGTCTGAGGTAAATTTTGTTGCGCGAAACTACAAGTCAAATTAAACGCAAATTGAATCTGATTAACAATCTGAATTAGCAATTTGTATAAAATTTGGTCAAGTAAAAAATTAACAAAACTAAAACGCAGTTGCAAGTGATATAAATTCTCAAGCTTCAAGAAAAGATGATCTAACTGGATTATACGAATAATTCTATCTTCGTTGGGAGATTCAATATCGAAGTGCCGAGTAAGTCAGACGATAGAAAATAGTTTAGTCCAGTTTCATCCAATCGCCGTCGGATGATAATTTTGCCGATTAAAATCGCCATTGACTAAATTTTCTGCTCGCTTCATCGAACAAGCCATTAAGATAAGGTCAAAATTTTTTCTAGAAAAAAAAAAAAAAACCAGGGCGATCAGTTCGCCGTGTACGAAACTGAAATCGAATTCATCCGACCCGATTCAAATTGTCTCGATAAATCTTTCGTTATAATGAATAATCATACCGTAATCGCCACCTCGCTTCAATTGAGAAAACGCTCACGTACAATGATTGTTCTATAACATTTTCTCGAAATCAGGTGAATACCCGTGGCAGGTGGCCATCCTGAAGAAGGACCCCGCCGAAAGCGTGTACGTTTGCGGCGGTACGCTGATCTCGCCGCGGCACATCATCACCGCCGCTCACTGCGTGAAGACTTACGCCGGGCGCGATCTTCGCGCGCGACTCGGCGAATGGGATGTGAACCACGACGTCGAGTTCTACCCCTACATAGAGCGCGACATCGTCAGCGTCTACGTGCATCCCGAGTTTTACGCCGGCACTCTCGCCAATGACATCGCCATTCTCAAGTTGGACCACGACGTCGATTTCAGGAAGAATCCTCACATAAGTCCCGCTTGCCTGCCGGATCAATACGACGACTTCACCGGTGTGAGGTACGCTCTCCGTGACTCGGAAAATTCACCAGCAAATCGCAGTGAATGAAATCAGCCCCGGGCTGACCTTCATCAAACTCTGAACCCGGCGAACAATTATTATACAGGGTGTCCCGAACCTAATCTCGGTCCCCGTGGTGGACGAAACTGAACGGAAAAGTTCTATACCGTTTTGCAAATAACGCGCCAAATTTCGAGTTATCGATGAGAAAATGGCCATTTATAGAGGCCTCTTTAATTGATAGCTCAACGATTTGCGTGTTATTCGCAAAGTGGTGAGACTTTTTCTTCCCGAATAGTCCAATCTACAAATATATGACAACTATTGTACCTATACTATTATATTGATACCTCGAAATTTTCCGTGTTATTTGCAAAATGGTGTAGAACTTTTCCGCTCACCCGTTCTACTTGCACGGTAACCGAGAGATTACTTTCGGGACACCCTGTATACAATTATATAAAATCATATATGAATTTTGCCCACAAATGTGGTTACATACAAAAAAGAATGATGTTGTGTCGTTTAATCGAATATCACACGCTGTCGTCAACTTCGATCGTATTTACATATAATCTGCAAACAGCAGCATTTCTTCGGACATGTACGATTAAGTGTGGTCTAACAAATGATTACGACACCGCAGATGCTGGACCACCGGCTGGGGTAAGGACGCTTTCGGCGACTACGGCAAGTACCAGAACATACTGAAGGAAGTGGACGTGCCTGTCATCGGCAACCACGTGTGCGAGCAGCAGATGAGGCGGACGAGGCTCGGCACCGGCTTCAGCCTGCATCAGGGCTTCCTCTGCGCCGGCGGCGAGGAGGGCAAAGATGCCTGCAAAGGTGACGGCGGCGGGCCGATGGTATGCGAGCGCCACGGCCGGTGGCAATTGGCCGGCGTCGTCTCCTGGGGCATCGGTTGCGGCCAATCCGGTGTGCCCGGTGTTTACGCACGCGTCTCTTATTATCTCAACTGGATCCGCCAGATCGTCGAGTACTAAAGCACCGACGTGATTCGCGTGTTCTTCCCTCTGTTCTCTCGGAGAAGGCTTTGGCGAAACTTTGCGATGTTTGATAATTACGACACGCACGACGATCGAATCCGACGATGGTAAACGATTACTCAGGATATCTACGAGCGTATATTTATATATAATATATTTATATTTCAACGTTCATCGTGCCGGAACTGTTCAGTTATCGTGCTCGTCTCGAAGATATATTTATTATTCAGATAACTCTACGATCTTTCCCTTGTGCCTTGTTTCGTGTCTAGACTAAGCGTTTTTTTTTCTTCTTCTTATTTAAATGACTAACTTATTATATATGTAAATAGTACGTAGGGTCTTGTAGGGTCGCGCGTCATATTGCGTTTATGCAATTTCGTGTCGCTTACGACGACGAGAAGCACCGGCTAATACCAGATCGCGATTCGCGGGGTTGATTCGAACGTTCGGATCGTCGAGTAATGCATTTTCTTTGCAGCAGCTTTTACGTACACATTCGTCTTATTCGCATTAATAAACGACTCATCTACTTGTATTCCCAGCGAATGTTTCTTCCCACCCGAGAGAAAAGATCATATATGAAATTTGTCGATACATGACTATATATATATATAATCGTATATAATCACAACGGAAGAATACTGTTGTTTACAAATTATATGCAAATACGATCGAAGTAAATATTTCTACTTGTGCTACCGAAATGCGTGATATCGACGCTTAATTAAATGACATAACATCATTTTTTTTCGTGTGGACATGCATGATCACATATGTAACTACATATATGGACAATATTCATATATGATTTTATATAATTATATATGATCATACGTGATCATTTTTTTCCATTTAATATTCTCGAAAATCCTTCCTAAGACTTGACATGATAAATGAGTGATAAATCGTAGTTTACATACGTCCGGCATTCGGAAACTATTTACATGTGAGATTATCTCTACTGCTCACCTTGTTCCACCCTCAGGGAGAATTCACACCTTGACAGAAGAGCAAAGAGTAAGAAAGCAGCAGAATTCGCGCTGGTAGTCGACAGTTTCTGCATTACCGCTTACTATCTGCGTTTTAACTACCGTTTCATACGTGGTTCATTTGAAATTGAAACATTCGGAAGCACCGAAGCCCCACGAAGTACGCCGATCGTAGCCGAGGACTCACGAGGATGTATTAATGCTGCCATCTGTGGATTCTTTGCGGATGAGAAAAGAAAAATGCGGAGACCCAACCTAACCTCTCGCGACGTATCTCGTAATATGTGATCCGTTGTTATTCGAGGTGCACGCGACATTCGACGTTGATTCCGACGTGTCTCGCGAATAATTGAATATAACTTTAGGGAGAGATTAAACCGCCGCGTGGAATTGATCGGCAACAGCGGGAGCTGTAAAAATTACAGGCGCAACACGATCCTCGACCGGTCTGTGATTGTTGATCGAACGATTAATCGCGGGAGTTCGTTTTTTCCACAATGCCCATAAAATTGATCGGTCGCGCGACGAATTGCAAGGGAAAGCCCTTGTGGGAAATTCTAGCCAACTTGAGAAACTTCGGTGTAGGGAGGATTGTGTTAAGGAGCATCCTGCAAAGGTATCCTGAGCCCTGTTACATGAAGATACTGAAAGTTGCCGCTATGCCACCGACCAACGAACCTTATGTGAGTATGAATTACGTGTATTACGTCTCCTTTCTGTATGATACGATACGATATAATTTCATCTATTGCTGCAGACCGACCGCAAAGTTATAGTACTGGCCGATGTAGTTTTTCGTGGCATGAAAGAATCGACACCAATGCAGCTGGATAATACAACTTACAAGGCGGATTTCGTGTTGGTGCCGAAAGATCAGGAACACTTGTACACCGGGGTGACTGTGCCGCCGGCCGAGAAGAGAGTCCTGCCTAGGACGATGGAATTTCCGCCGCTGTATTTACAAATGCTGATGCGTGACATTAAGGCGAAAGGCATTGCCGAACCTGCGAAACAGCCTCAGCTAAATATTGTGTATAACACGTCATGTATGAGCGTCAAAAATTATAGAATAGCCGAAGAGGACGAGACTGCAGCGAGTATAACATATGGTTTAAATAAGTCTAGCGTCTTTTATCCGAAGACAGAAGCGAGCGAACCTTCGTGAAATTATATTTCAAGTGTATAATTGTTAACAGCAGAGACTAATTGTCTTGTAAATTATGAGTGGCAGGCTAAGGAAATAAACGGAGTAACAATCAGACTGACTTGCGGCAGTCCGTTTTATCAGATTCAGGAATGGAGAGTTCCGTGCCCTCCGCACTGATAATCTACAATTTATACGAGAGATGTATTTATCTGATGCTTTGATCATCATTGTAACGCAAGATACCGCATCGATACCTTCCAAAACTGACGCATCTCTTGGACATCCGCCCTTTTCCTAACGAGCCAACCACGAATGTATCTCTGTATGCGTAAAGCAGCCTCCTCTTTCGTCCACAGCCACGATTTCGGATAAATCGGTCTAGGACTCGCGAAGAAAGTAAGAAAAACCGATAATTATCCTCAGAAAGCGAAGCGAGCGATATGCTATTTATGTATGTCTTACTGCGATCTCAGCCATAGTTGAAATTGCGGTATGCCGAAAATATCCGTCCAGGTGTGCGACCTGTTCGGATGTAGCGAATTGCGATTCCAGAGGATTTCCGCGAGACAATCCAAGGCGTTGAACGAGCATTTGCCCTTTCTGTACAATATATACGGTAAATTTTTTTCGAATTGGAATGGACAACGTGTCAAAGTCACCGGGAACAGGAATCGTGTAAATTCAACTTGCAGAGCATCTCGGCGGTGAACTTCGATCAACATCTCCCGCATAGCGCTTAGTAAGATCGGAAATATCTCCCTGTCTAAATAATCCGGTACGCTTAAAGTTTCGTTTCGATACGGGTCCATATTTTCCGTTCGTTTGTCGGAGCTCGAAAAGTTTATCAAACGAATATAAGCGCAAGTCGATGCCAACTGTTTAGAACGCGGAAGTCGCTTAACCTCGGTAAACGATAGGAAGTACGACAGTATCGACGATGTTGGGACTCCGAAAATCAAATCGAGTTCTTCGCATCGTATTTCCCTAATTTTACCACCGGCTTGCAAAATAACGAGTGCGCGTGCAAATATGTAATCGAGAAAATTATTCTTATCTGAGACAGAATATTGCAATCAATTCCTCTAATATGCCCCGTGAAATCCTCATTACGGGCCGGTGTGACGTCAGGTGTCCTAAAGTGAGGCGACAGTTACGTGCTGAAGGTACGTCGGTTTACATGAACTAACCGAATCGCGTTCTCTGTATGAAAAAAAGAATTTATCGCCCGAATTGTGTATTTGAACTTTCGTTTCTTTCGTGAAATAGTCGCCAAGAGACCTTGGTTGGTGGACGAGTTCTTTCCGCAGCGGAAGGCCGCGGACCTCCGATTTCCGCGAGATCCCGAGATCCGGAGAGACACGCCGAGACGAGACGAACCGGAACGTGTGGTTAAACCAGCGATTATTCGGGAAGCAAGAATTGTGCAAGAAACCCCAGTCGTTCGGGAACCGATCGTCATCAAACCGGATGACTGGGAAATCGATTTTGCAGAGGAAAGGGAGCTGGTTGTCGAGAGAACTACGATAGAAGACGGGATTGTCGAGGACAAAATCGACCGGAAGACATTGAAGCCAGTGAAACTAGAGGAAACAGATCGTCAGAATGAAACTGTCGACATAGTCGAGACGAGACCGCCAGTGGTGGTCGATAAAACTATAATAGAACGAACGAAGGAAGTTCCAGTGGTGGTCGGTAAAACTATAATAGAACCAACGAAGAAAGTTCCAGTCATGCCTGAGAGAGCCGAGACTATCGAGGTTGGTCGGACGACAGCCGAAAAATTCGAACCAGTGGCGATTGCGGAGCCCCGAGAGAAGAAGACGGATGACGATTACGACGAATTTATCGACGAAGAGTTGCGGAAGACTCTGCCCATCGCGACCGCGGAACAGATTCCGGATGAAGAAGTGGTGGAGACGGTGCGTCGGGAGGAGACTCCTGTCAAGAAGGCGAAAATCAATCGCGTGGAACGTCGAGTCGGCGAGGAGGAAGACGGAAAAGCGGCTCCCTCGATGGTGGTGGAAACTGTGTCGCGTGAACCCGCGCGTCCATCCGCGCCTTCGAAGGACACCTGCGACGATACGTGCCCGGTGATGGGCGAGCAAAGAGGCGAGCTATTTAACTCTCACCCCCGAAGCGTTCCTCCCAGGAGGAAACGCGTCACACTAGTATTGATCTTCCCTCCCGCGTATATATATATCGTTTTACAGTGGCCCGATTCGCCGAAATTTACAGAACGCGTCATGCGTAAATTGGAGGCACGGCAGAGGATCGTGGATCATTATTATCTGACGAGGGGCTTCAGCTATCTCGAGGACGTGTGCACGTGCTCGTTGGCCTGCGTGCTGTACACCCTGAGCAGAGACCAGTTCGTGAGGAGCGTATTCGCGTCTCTCGCTTTGTTCGCGGTCGGACTGAAGCTCTGCTCCGAGCTGGACGCATGGGAGATGCCGAGTCGCGTTTCATAAAGCCGAACATTGACGTCGGTCTCATCGTAGTCGAGAGACTCTCTTTATCATGAAATATCTCGAAGCAGAGACCGGGGGCAACTTTAACGGCGATGTCATTTTTGGGGAACGTTTTATCCAACGCTCGATCTGTTTTCTCCTGCGGAAGAGAGATTTCTGTTTCTTTCGGGATGCAGACGTGCTGGTTGAAATTTTACGTATGATTATATGTAAGTCGCAGAATNCCCCCCCATCAAAAGTTATTTTCTTTTAAATAACGATTTGGTAAAGGCCAGTATCTTTCTTCATGACGGCAGTGGTGATGCATTGTAATCGCCGTTACCGTTAACGTTATTAACGAAATTTCAGATTTATTCACGATTTTCTCGAGATTTTTGGTTAACGGTATTAATTATCTTATCATCGCTTTTTACATAAATAAAATACATTATATAATTAAAATACATGTAAAATATAGATATATAAAAAGTGCGGCTGAATCGGTAGAATTTCCAACAATACGCGTAATTAATCTTCCTGACTCGCACACAATAGCATATCATTGAAAGTAACACTCATTATTATAGTAATTATTGAAATAATTGTTATCGAATCAGAAGGATTCACTCCAATTACGCACGCTGTCGGAAATTCCGTTAGTTCAACAGCCTTTTTTTCCACGTACATAGGATGGGCGATAGCAAGCATCATGAAGATCTTCAAAGCTTGATAAAACATGGACAATGGAAATTGTAATGAATCGTTGCAATTTCCATGATCGTTACTCAAACGACTCCTGGTCCCTCGCTGCAATAGTTTTTCTTTGCTGACGTCAGAAGTGAGAAAATGCATGTAAAATGCATCGAAATGAAAGAATACGTCTATAAAATGATTGCGACTTGGAAACATCGGCTTTGCCCTAACAATCAAAAGATCACCGTCAAATTAACCTGGCATGCAATCTCTTCCTTTTCAGCCTATCTTTCCTCATGACTTCGTCGCGTTAATTTCACGGTAATTAATTGATTGCTAAAGCAAAGGGAAAACTTTCGGAATATTTTACAAATATGTTCAATCGATCGCACACATTTCCAACGTATCCCGCAAGAATAGTTGAACCAATTCTCGCTTCCGATGTGGTTAATTAAGACGGCTGCAAGGAAGAGAAATGAAAGCCCCAATTAGTAACGAGTTATTTGTTTTCCTTTTTTTTTCCAATAAATAAAAAATCATTTCCGAATCGACTAACTCTTTCCTGAAACCTGGTATAATCGGTCGAACGCTTCAAGAGAGCTCGGGTTTCCGGCGTTTCCCGGCGAAGGTTTTCACGAGGCACACCGACGCGATCGTCAGCGCGAGTGAAGCGCAGGCCGCTGTGAGGAACGCTGAATAATAACTTCGCTTCGAAGTTCGCCGCTCGTACTTCGGCAGGAGCACCCGCAGAGCTATATTATCGTCCCGCCACTCGATCGTATTGTTTCGATCCGCGGCGCTCCTGCGGGCGCGTCTAACGTGACCGGCGGGACAGTCGAGGACGCAGTCCGCAGCCTCCAGACACGCGGTCGCTCTCACCGTCAGGAAAATCTCGTCGGTCTCCTTCATGCCGTCGAACATGAACGCTCGGAGGATCAGGTAGCTTTCCAACGGCGACGCCGCGTATTGTTCTCGCGGACAGATCTCGCGCACGTCCGCGTTCAGACAACCGTCCTCGTCGAGGATCCACAGGCTGTTGACGACGTTCCGCTGCTGCTTCATCATCTCCACGTAATGCACCGTCACTCGGCCCATCCTCGAATACTTCCAACCTTTGCCACGCGAAATGACGAAGCAGAAATTTACGTCGGAGTTTGGGAAACACCGTCTTACGCGAGGATACAGAGAATTAGGGAAGGTATTATCGCCGTCATTCACAGCCGTCGTCAGTGTTTGCCGGTATCTAGATTAAATGATCTAATAATCATCCAGACGAATCAACCGATCATCTTTATCTAGATGGAAGGAATGCTAAAGATCTTGATCTTCATCTTAGATGAGAAAACATTTCGTCGAAAAATTGTCCATTTGTTTCGATCCACTTTCAAGCCCGTATCTCGTCTAAGATGAATTTATCGGATTTTCATTTCACCTGCATGCAGATGAAATCATCCGAGGCAAACACTGGCCGTCATTAATGTATTCTTACCGTCGTCACTATTGACCAAGACGCGCAGCAGAATCTCTTCGCCGAGGAGAACCGTGCCGCCCGGCTGTATCCTCGTGTCGAAGGTGTTCTCCGAGGTGTACGTTTTCCTGAACAGTCCCACGTCCACGTCCAGGGTATCCTTAGAGCCGCCGTTCAACACGTTCGGTATGCTCCTCCCCTTCCTGAAAAGAAGTTATTCGCGAGGTTGATTTTCGTCAAGCCCATCTCTTCGAAGACAAACGATGACGCGCGCCGCCTTACGCTTCTAAGGTTTTCAAGTTGATCCGCTTCGTGCGATACGTGATCCTATCTTGAGTCTTACATCGTAACGTCACCCTATAGTCGTCCTTCAATCGCAGCCCGGAAATCACGGGGAATCTCAGGTCGAGGCAGTACGATCGGACGCCATCCGCGGAACAATCGGCGACCCCGCAATCCCAGAACTGATCTCTCTCGAAATTAATGCGATAAGAATCCCCGGCTGGTGTCGCGCGACAGGCTTCACCCATCACGTTGTCTACTATCGGCGGGATCGAACTCTCCGGCATCTTGACGGATGCTCTGCGGCAAAGAAACGTGACGAAACGCGCACAAAGTTCCATAAAATTACGTCTCTGATGGCGTTTTGATACCAAACGGCAGGCTGGCGCAGATGAAGGGTGACTTTCGTCAAACTCGGATTAATCGATGAACAATAACAAGAATTGCGAACAATTTCAAGCCGGTTTCCAACTTGTCGCTCGACAATAATTGAAAGGTCAATCATTTTCATCCGCGTCGGCAAGATAGAGGTAATGTTTGAACGACATTGCGATTTGAAATCATCGATCAAATCAGAGTTTGCTAAGAGTTACCCAAAGTGACTAATTAGATTCTGTGGTGTCATCTCGAAGAGACATCAACCTCTCTGAGGTTAATATCTCGAAAGGATCTCATTATTTGGAAAAAATGCTTTAAATGAAAATTGTACGGTCTCGAGGAAATATAAGATGATAATATCATCGTGACATTCGAATCTCTCTCCGAAATTATTGCGAGATGCGCTTCGGTTTTTTAAATGAAATTATGCAGTTTTTCTTTTTAACACAGATCGATTCTCCTGGTTATTCCGAATTTTTCTGTCCTCTCAATTATTTTTCCCAAACGACGCATTTCTCCCGAGATATTAGTCTGTAATAGTTTGCGGATTGTCCTTCACACTGAAGATGTGAGTTGTAATACTTACGAAACATTGAAAACATATTCATGAAGAACGCAACGTTAACTCGGAAGCCAAATCGAGTATATTAGTCTATATATATATATTTTTTTTATCCGAGTCTGTAATCTCCAGAGTGAGTAAAAAAATCTGAAGGACGTTATTGCAACAGTATGCAATAGTGTGTAACGTTCCTGATATGTAGTTATCAACGTTGCATTAACATTACGAGTAACTTTTGCGCTTTCTAAAATTTTGCAATTTCTAAAACTTTCGCAATATCTGGGAAAATTATATTATTCGGTAATATTTTTGAAATACTTTATATAATATATTAAGTGAAAATGTATTCGTGAGACACGCGCATTAGCAGACACGCGCGAAATCAATATTTCGAGGTGTTAAGGCTCATGTTTCCTTGCCCGATTTTCTTGATTAATCCTTTATGTTGGAACATCCCCGACGTTGTCGCGAGCTAAATATGCACATTGTTAATAACAGACTTAACTTTGTTATTTCATAATAACGAAATTCTTAAACAAATTCTGAGAAATTGCACATAGTAAATATACATCGAGTTGCAATATATATTTTTGTTCTTTCCAAGTGTGAATTTTAAATCAATGCATACGTCTGAAGAATTTGCGTTGATAACGTCAAAAGGGGAAAAATTAAGTAGCGCTACTTATCAAGATAACTTTTTTGACGATATTGTTTTCATGAGGAACTTTATAGAAATTTATAATAAAAATTATGCAGATGATAAAACTGCAACGACCGTAAGTGATTTTTATTAAAAAACGGTCCGAGCTTTTGCATTAACTCGAAAGATCCAAACTGAGAGTTTACTACACCTACCGTAGATCCAGACTTAACGTTGCTCGGTAACTATTTCATTACCTGAAGAATAAATCGTCTCCCGCGTTCTGACAGGACATCTCTTCTATGCTGATGCGATTCGCCGAAGATGACATCGGTGTTTCGACGACGGGGGGAAGAGGGGAAGGAGGAAGAAAAGGAGGAGACCGCATTGTGGTTAGTCGAGGGTGTTTGCCTTGCGGAGAGCCCGGTCGACGAGGATGCGGTCCGCTCCCCGGATATCTCTCGTCCTGCGTCGAGCTTTTGCGCGCGAGAGCTCGCAAGGAATCCTGGTCGGGAAGAAGCAACAACGCATTAGGGTAGTTCCTGGTCTCGTTCGTCGTCGCTATTACGTTCCGTGCTCTGTTATCGATCACTTCCGGCGGTGAGAAATTCGCCGGCACACTCGCCGGCGGTAAGTAACCGTTATTGCGGAGTATCGCCACTTTGGAGACGTTGTATCTGCGATGGAAATTCACGAGGAACGTCGAATCCCGCGACTCCGCGACCTTCCCCGAGAACAATGCGCCGAGGACCAGGAGGCATCGATAGATCTGCGAATAAATTCGTGATTGTTTTCACAAAGTATTATATAAGACATCCCCACGCCTTGTATATTATTAAGTAAACGGGGAAAGGAAAATGTTCCCTTTGGAAAAATACAGAAGCGTATTGCTTTGTAATTAATTAATCGTTACACTTGCATTAAAGGAAGAGTTTAAACGATTAAACGGCGGTACGTTTTTCAGAATAGGAAATACACGCATTATTATTTTATTCAATGTTACAGAATTATTATTTGTTATTTCCGCGTCTTCCGCGTCGTAACGAATCGAGTGTACAGAGAGTTGAACGTGACATTTCAAATCGAACGTCTCTTTGAATTGAAGCAATTTAAATCGTCAAAGGCCAGAGAGACACTTTTTTATCTCGATTTTCGGATGCGAAAACCGGCAAGATTAGCGAATTCTCGCGGCGATCACCTGCGTCGGCCAGGTAGCGCGGCGGCGGCGGTATTTCTTCGCGTCGCTCTCGCGGAACATTTTCAATTTGAATACCGGAATGAGACTGACGAGCGGGCCGCCGATGGCGAAACCTTTTAAAGCGTGCCTTTAAAGCGGAGAATCCGGCAGCCATTGTTTCGGCCGGGCGACACATCGGCGAACACACGGCCGTCCGTTTAATAGGTATACCTTGTTTCGTGATTCGCCTGACGATCGGCTACTTAACATAAAACACCGCATTCGCATCGTTCGATTTTCACGTGCTTGTCATTAATAAACGATAACAGCGGGATACGTCGAACAGCCCTCTCTCTCCCCGCCTCCCTGGCCACCTCTCTCTTTGTCCATTATATCTCGATCAATTTGGGTCAGAGGTGAGTTTTTTTTTTCCTTTTTTTGTGACTCGCATACGCCGATCGCCACTCGACCGTCCACTTCCAGATTTCCAGTTCAGGGCACACCGATTATGCAGGCACGCACTTCTTGCCGCTTTAACGTTCTTCTCACGGAGAAGAAATCTAACGTCGATTAACGGACGGATTATTTCTGTACGACGATATGCAAATATTACGTATGCCGGAGGCTTCCGGGATCGGAGCCGCGTTTCTCGCGGATTTTTATTCCCGTGAACGTTTCAATTCACCGCGTTGGAAAGAGGAGCGCGAACCTATGTTAAGAGAAATTCTGACCCAAAAGTGATAAAATGTCCTTGATTTTTCCGTCATCGCTAATAACATATTTATTTGTGCTAATGCTTACACCAATATTTACCTATTCATTTGTACTAATATTTATACTAATATTATACATTTTTTTCATTCACACTCGCCGAATATTATAATTTTACCAATATTATAATTGTTTTCATTATTTGTACGATACTTTTCTACAAGGGGTTATTCATTGGAATACACATATATATGTAAAATATATTATACAAGACTTATATTAAGTCATATAAAATCGTATCCTTCTGCTATTGATTCAAATTATCGCATTCAATAATTAACGACCGACTCTTGTTAGACCACCTTTCTCACTCTGATTAACATAGAATATTTCGTATGCTATTTAACATAGTAATTTCTAACATAGCGTATTTTAAAAAGTCAGCTTAGATACGTCGTAAATAAATAGATACCTGATATTTCAATAGGATTAGTAAAACGTGTTTGATTAACCCTTTGCACTCGAGGGTTCCGGAGCGGAGCCATTTAAAATTTGTCTTCAAACTCGAGGGCTCCGCTATGGAGACAATGCAAATAACTTTCAGTTCATAACATAAGGACAAAGACAAATTGTAAAAACTATTGGGTATAGGATATTCCCGCTCTTGCTATTTGCATTTGAAGAGTTTGAAGACAAATTTTAAATGGCTCCGCTCCGGAGCCCTCGAGTGCAAAGGGTTAAAAAAGTCAGCGTTTTCTTTTCGCGACGTCGATTTCGTCGAATTGATGAGCGAAAAATTACAAGACGACTCGCCCGATACAGTGGCGAGTAGCGGGGATCGGAGAAAAAAAAATGCTCCAGGTGAGGCTCGAACTCACAACCCCGGCATTGCTCACGACTACTGTCCTATAAGTACCGTGCGCTAACCAATTGCGCCACTGGAGCGGTTGGGAACAAGGCCAGTACGGGGGCCCTTCAAACACGGTCGTGATAACAGCCGGAAACATCTCAGGAATGATTAATTACAGCGTGACTGATCAACTCGAATCGCAACGTGCGCGTCGAAGAGAAAATGACAAGCCCGTGATCCTTGGGCGAGCATTCACTCGCGCGTGCCTAACGTTTCGCACTTGTACGTTCGATTATTCCTACTGTAAGTTCGGTTCGGATAAACGAACGATTCATTCGATCGATTCTCATTGATCGTCGTGAGGGAATTAACGATAACAGCAATATTTATCGTAATTCATCGCCGCAACAGGCCTTGGACGTCCCTTCGTTCCTCGCGGTTTTGTCCCTCGGGTGCAGAAGGTGCAGGCAAGGGGTGCATTTGCCATGCTTCCGATCTTCCTTCGGCACGTAAAGCGGGGTCTACAATGAGAATTTAGGGCGTAAGAAATCGACCAATCGTAATCGACTTTTCTCCTGTACCTCGACTGCGATTGGTCCATTTTTTCAAGGCTTACAGCTTAAAGCGTCTATTGTAGACTAGCACTAACGAGCAATACGTTGGCAGAAATGGAAGTGGATAAAAGTGGGAAGGAGCAGAAGTTGGCGGCACTGCTGCCGACCGTGTATACACACACGGTTGTCTGTCACGAACATATCGGCTGCTAAATGCATTTTGGCTATTAGCACCCAAGTTGACCGCAATCAGTGAGAGAGAGAGAGAGAGACCAATCAGCAGGTGCACGCGTCTCGCCGTCTCACGGACAGAGAAATCTACCTGTGGGAAAATACCGACTTAACGAGTCCGCGGAGAAGATGCCACGTAACGGTGCGACGGTCGCAACGCGCGCTCGACGAGCGATGTTTTCGACGACTGTCTGCAGATAATTCCGCAAAAAGTACGAGCAACTCGATTTCGATGTTAATACGATGTTAATTCGCTATTCGGCGAATTTCCACGACGGTCGGTGTACGTTAATTTGCTTGAATTCGACTTTGCCCACGCGCGATGTTTACGGTACAACAGCTGTAGTGATACGGGGATGACAGAGGTTAACGTTGCTTCTCTCTCGCTCTTTCGTTTCAGGGAGACATGAGTTGGTTCGACGCGACGGGATTCGCCAATTTGGCGAAATCCGCCCTGAAGGAAGCTCAAAAGACCATAGACAAGGCGTTAGATATCAAGGACGAGGAGCCGAAGGTGATTCAGGCGCGCACAGACGAGAGCTCGGATTTCTTCGCGAGTTGGGGATTGAAGAACGAGGAACGGAGGGCCGATGATGCTGAGCGAGAGAGAAACCCGGCGAAACAGCAGGGCTCGAGCAGTATTTGGGGTAGCTTCACAGGCTCGTTCTTCGAGGCTCCCAAGATCGTGGAAGGGAATACGGGAAGGAAAGCTGTCAAGCATTCGAAGTCGCTGCAAAATACCGTCGGCCCGGACGAACAGCAGTCTCGAATGGTGTCCTCCGCTTCAGTCCCCGAGAAGCTGATCGAGAAAGAAGCGACGATGAGAAGGAGCGAGTCTGTACATACGGAGAGCAAAGAGGAATTTCGTTCGGCCAGTGAGCCTGTAAATATTAATCTTAGCGCGGCTGACGAAATTCCCAGTGAGCTCACCGGGGAGTCTCGTGCGTCGCCGGAAGAGTCGTATGCGGGGAACGTTCCTACCGATGCGGAAGACAGCGGCAGCCTAGACACGGGAGAAGGTGATAACGCGCGAAAGACGACGGATGATACCGACGACGACGACTCGACGAGCAGCATCGAGGAGGAGCGAAGCGACGTCAATGTCTCGGAAAGCAACGACGTGAACGAAACACCGAGCCCTACCAATGTGTTCCAAATGCCTACCGTCTCTTCGGAAAGCGACAAGAAGAGCCTGGAGAGCGTGGAGATACTCGGCTCGCAGTCCAACACCGACTGCACCACCACGCCGGAATCGGACCCGAATTCCGTCAGCAATTCGATCAGCCCTTCGGTCGTCGGCATCAAGGTGAATTCCGAGTCGGTCGAGATACTGCCGGACAGCCTGGTGACGTCGCCGAGCTCCGTGGAGGTGCTGGGGGACTGGAAGAGCGACAGCAGCCCTTACCTGTCGCCGATCGATCCGAAGAACTCGTCGCCCGTCCCGGACGACGGGGACGTCACCCCGTGCGGGGAGGAATGCGCGTTGGAGGGTAAGCTCGCGGAGCCGCCCTCGTCCTCGGACATATCCCCGTACGAGTCACCGATGGAGGAAGCGAAGACGCTGAGCAACGCATACCCGGGCAGCGTCGACAGCACGCCCTCGCCGAACGCGTCCTCCAGTCTGGGCGGGAAGTCAACGGAGAACTCGAAGACCTCCCCCGAGAGCGTCGAGGTGATACCGGACGTGGACGAGTTGGACGAGGTGAGCCTGGCCGAGGATTCTTACACCTCCGCCTCCGAGGGCACGGTGATGACGGTGCTGGAGACCTTTCAACAGCTGGACGGTGTCAAGAGCAAGATGGAGCTGGTGGACATGAAGATGCACGAGTCTCACCCGGACGACAAGCAGGCGAGGCCGGAGGGCAAGCTGTGTCTCGACTCTCTGAAGGAGAAGCACAACTTGCACCTGACCCTCGAGCCGATCACCACCCAACCGATCCGCAAGTCCGACCACCTGGGCCCGGATAATGAAAAGCCGGACGTAGCCGCGTTTTCCCAGCTGATGAGCGCGACGATCGAACCACCGGATCCGGACGGTTACTCCCACGTGGAAGGCGCGAAGCTGCACGAGAGCACGACAGATCAGTACTTGATATCCACCGATTCCAGCGGGGAGGGGACGCTGATCGAGAGCAGCTCCGAGGACAACGCCACGTTGGTGCCCACGGACGTCTCCAAGGTCCTGGAGACGCCGCTGACCGCCAGCTCCTACGTGAAAACCATGCTGGCCGACGCTATGGTCGAGAAGGGTGAGATCATCGACATGACGGAAGCCCACTGCGCCGACGTGCCCCGGGAAAACTCACCCATCTCCTCCGAGAGGTACGTCGCCGAAGTTTCGGGAAAATCGCCCGTCGAGGAAGTAATCTATCGGAAAGATCGCAACGAGTCGTCGTTTCCGTGACTTTTCCCACCAAGTTTTACACACACACATACGTATCGTACGAAATCATTCTATTTGTTACCGGACGAATATAAGGCTGGCTTTCGCCAAACTTTCGTCGGTAAATAACAATTGGCAGCGACAATCGAAAGATCAGTTTTGTCGTTCAACTGTGACAGAAAAGCGAATCATTTCTATCCGCGTTAGCGGGATAGAACAAGCAGTGCTTGACTGACGGCGATTTTCAAATCGTCGATCAACTTAATCGCATCTCGGTGAAATTATCTTAACTGCGTTATTATTATTATTATTATTATTAGTGGTAATATGTAACGTTCTTACCGAATCGTTGTTGAAGAAAGTTTACGGTGTTGCAAGTAACGCAAGTTACTTCCCCCGGTTACTCGCTTATATTATAACATCATTGGAATTTACAATACTTTATCGTCGTTATCATTGTTGTCGACACCATCATGATTATTATCGTTCATTTGTGAAAGAAATGTTCGTTACAGTCGCTCGGACCTGGTGAAAATCGGCTCGGACCAGGCGAGCGGACACACGAGCGGGGACGAGTTGGAAACCACGACGTCGAGCGATATCGAAATCATATCCAGGTACAGGTATGATTGATATCACCGTTCCTCGTCGGCACGGTGATAACTGAATTGATTGAACCTACGATTTTCCGACGGCAGTCCGAACGGAGACTCGAGCTCGACGCAGTCGCGGCAGAGCCCGGCGAAGCTGCAGCTGAGCAAAGGCGGCGACCTGCTGACGAAAACCTTGAAGACCAGAGGCCACTCCCGGGAGCTGAGCGAGATCAGTATCGGCTCGGACGAGGCGAATCTGGAGATCGAGAAGCTGTTGAAACGCGTGCAGGAGATGACCGAGATCCTGGAGGCGAGGGAGTCCAAGCTGATCGACGTCAGTAGGATAAACATGGAGCTGCACGAGCAAAATGCGAATCTCGTGAAGTGAGTGTAACGTAAAATCGACTTACCGTATCGACGAACCGAGATATCGAATCGAGAAATCCTCCTCCATCAGGCAGCTGGAGAACTTCGAGAAACACGCGGAGCAGAATCAGAATATCACTCAGATCACGGACGAGTACACGCAACGTTTGTCGGCGTTGGAGAGGAAGTTTCAGCAGGCGATAAGGGAACGGGATCAGCTGAGGAAGAATCTCGACCAGTTGAAAGTGGAGGCGATGTGCCGATTGTCCTCGCAGGAGATGTCGAACATAAGCGCCGAGAAGGACGAGATAATAAAGGAGCTGCGCGAGGAAGGCGAGAAACTGAGCAAGCAGCAACTTCAGCACAGCAACATAATCAAAAAGCTAAGGCTGAAGGAGAAGGACGCCGACGGCGTGATGAAGAGTCAAAGGTACTTCCTTACGAACTTAAATCGCATTCCGATACCGATTCGTTTCTTCCTTTTCTCCCAGAGAACAAATCGAGGAGCAGAATACCGAACTGGAGAGACTGAAGCGATCGTTGCACGCGAAGGAGGAAGTGGAACGCACTCAGATAGAAGCGGTTCACACGCTGACGGCGAAGACGAGGAAGCAGGAAAAGGAAATAATAAGCCTGCAGGAGAAGCTGGATAACGCAGTGCATAAGATGGACGCTTATAAGAAGAGCTTCGATGCCGCGAAAGTGTTGGTAGCACATCGAGGCGTTCATTCATTTCGGAACGGAGAATCTATGTCTTACGATGACATTTCTGCTTGTATGTAATAATAGGGAGTTATCGGACACGAAGAAGAAATTGCTGCTCACGGAGGAGGAATTGAAGGAAGCCGTGGATAACGCGGGGGAATCGTGTCAGCTGTTTGCCCAAGTGGAGGATCTGAAACTGAAGTATCGTCAGGCCGAGGAGGCTCACGTCAAGCGAGTATCGTAAATATTGAAAACCAGGGTTGGGAGGGGGAGTTACTTGTCGTTGCCGTTACAAGCTATTTTTTGTAACCACGCTATGATTTTTTTCATTGGTAAGAGTAACAATAACAAAATTAGATTTCTTTTCATCAACGATAACGAATATAAATTGTTGGCGGTGAGTCGTTGAAATTCTCTGGAATTTGCTATGTGGAGAAGGTGACGGGAAGGTTCCAGCTACTTGTTGCTTCTTGAGTGACGACGATTGGTTGCTTTTTTTTTTTCAATGAATAACGAGGTGACGAATTACGTGTAAAGAAATAACTATGCCAACCTTGATTAAAGAGATTGTGGGGGAAATTTATATGGAAGGAAAATTTAATAGAGGAAGATTGAAAGAAATTATAGGATTAATTATTCATCATTATCCCTTAATAATGATTTTGTTGGATTTAATTTATTTTTATTTAAGAACTTTATTAAATTCTAATTTGTGGAATTAGATTAATAGTGTGAATTCTTTTTTATCCTATAGAAGAGAGGAGTTTCTCAAGCACGAAAACAGCGAGTTGCTTAAGCGGCTCGAAGCAGCGGAGGCCAGAAGCGAGGAGCTGTCCGAATCCGTCTCGGTGGCGACGAAACCGTTGCTGAGACAGCTGGAGCAGCTCCAAGCTAACTTGCTGCATAAATCCAACAGCTTCATGAAGCAAGAGAAGGTTCTGTCGGACAAGAATGTCGAGCTGCAGTCGAAAATCGAGAACCTGATCGAGATGGACCGTCTTTTGCGGGAGGAGAATGTCAATTTGAAGTCCAAGGAGTCGCATTTGGAATCGAAGCTCAATAGTAAGGAGAAGGAGAGGGTGAGATTGCAGGAATCGCGCGATCAATTGGCCGAGCAGAACGGGAAACTTTTGGAGCAAAATAAACAGTAGGTTGATGTCGAGGAGTGAACTAATACACCGGGTGTTTCGCGAGGAAACCGACTTCTGGGAAGTTATCCCGAGCAAAGGACACATTATGAGTGAATTCAGCCTGTCACGAAAATATGAGAGATTTCATCCTTATCAGTAAAGGCATATCCGCATGTGAGAAATTTCGTTTCGTCGACGAATCTCGATTAACTCCGTAAATCCGTAAGAAAATTGGGCCAGTCACGGGTTGATTAGCACACAATGAGCAGCGGTGGGTCGAACGAATAATATTATCACGAGAAACTAGGAGAATAATATTCGTCTGATAAATGTCTGGCATTTTTCTCGCCTGTTGCTGATAAAACTCGACCGATAACTGAGAGCCAAATTGACCTACGATGTGTGTACGAGCGTTTTCATTGGAAATTACCTGAGTAGAACGCATTCGAAGTCGTCGGTTTCCCCGACGAAACACCGAGTATCACCGTGACGGATCGTCGAATGTTATATCTTGCGGTTGAAACCACAGGCATCAAGACACGATAAACATTCGCGAGCAGACGCATTCCGGTCAAGTGCAGGAGCTGAAGAGAGAGATAAACGCGTTGGAGAACAAGTTGGCCGTGGAGAAAGCGGCGACCGACGCGGAACGGAGGAAGAACAACGCAATGTTGGAACAGCAACAGAGTACCGAGGAAGAGTTACGATTCAGTCCTACCTTCAGTATAGGGCAGGAATCCGTCGGTAGCGCGAATAGCGTCTGGCCAGCTGTATGTACTCTCACGTATCCTAATCGATCGTCGACTGGCTGGTCGATACACATTAAACGTACGACGTTTACTCTGTTTTTCATTTTAGTTCAGCGACTCTGTATTCGACAATAACTCCGGCAGATTCCTCCCGATGACGTACGAGAGCATCAGGGTGGGCTCGAGCAGTACGTCGATTTTCGAGAATCTACAAGCGCAATTGAAACAAAGAGACGGTAAGTTAGTTAAACGATAGTATAATAATACGTTCAGTGGGCGATGACGCTGGATAAAGATTTCGTTCGCGTGATTTCGTCGATTCTTGATATTCTCGGTGGGCGCGTCGGTCGTTACTCGGTGTCCTTCGCAGGCGAGGTGCAGCAACTTCAGTGGGAGCTGTCACGGCGTAATATGGAGAGGGACGCGTTGAATTCGGAATTGGCGACGCTGATCCTCAAGGTCGAGGATCTGAGCGCGAAGGTTCAGGAAGCGGAGGCGCTCAACGAGAGCCTCGGCGAGACGCAGACGAGATACGACGCGCTGCTGCAAATGTACGGCGAGAAGGTGGAGGAGAATCAGGAGCTGCGGCTGGACCTCGAGGATATCAAGGAGATGTACAAGACGCAGATCGATCAGCTTCTAAAGAGGCAGAATTAACCTCGCCACGTAAACGTGAATCGTTCATTCGCGTGCCCCTTATATATAATCCCGTATAAAAATTCCGATCGGCCCCCCGATTTCAAGCGCGACGAAACACGCGTTTTAACACGTCCCCCATCGCGTGATTCTCTTTCCTCCGTCTTTGTCCAGCGATCGATTCCTGGTGTATAGGGGAGTTTTATAACGAACGGTTTTAATAACGTACGTCCGCCGTACGATATGTATTTGTAATATCCGATACACGAATACACGAGGAAATTTGTGATAAAGGTGATTCAGGCTCCGATATGGCCCCGATAAGATAAGGGAGTGAGGTCATTTGTTAAATTATATATAAGGATGTATTTATGAAAAATATAGGTGGAGTGCTTTGCAAATTGTCACGAAAATTGTGCACATGGTGTGTGATGATGATACTCACATTCTCCTACATACACGCCTACACACACACACACTTGTGTATGATTTTTATCCCCTATATTTCGATTCTAATTTAACGTCAGGGACACTCATGTGATATCCGATATTGTATTATAATATTTAAGTATAATATACGAATGTATATAACGCAATGATGTGTACTTTATCGTCTAAATACAGCGATACAAATATTAAAGCGGTTTTCCCGATGGCGACGAGAGTAACCGCGAATATGGAGATGATACAAGGCGTCTCGCAAAATTTTCACGCAAATCCAGAGTACATCCGTCGCAGATTTTATGCGGGCGAACTTGTCGAAACTCGACTCACGGTTATCTTCTTATTACACGTCGCGCGATTGAGCGACTATGGCGATAGTTCGTCTGTTTCAAACCGGATGATGTCACGCGCGCGCGATTGGTTATATTTAGAACAGCTCGCAGTCGCGGCGAGACGCACCGCCCCGTGGAGAGATTCGCGTTTAGTGCGTGCATTTCAAATGTTATAAAAATTCTCCGTTTTCGTTCGCAAAATCATCCCCCCCAGACTCCCCTACCGTATATCGCCGGTCGTTGCTGTCGAATTTACAAGTTTCATATTTCCAGGGCAATTTCTAACTGTCTGTGAGTATCAATCGTGCGCACGTATGTTCGCACTCCGATCCTTGCTTTCTCGCTTTCTGTGCGCTTTTCGAATATACACGATGGGATTCCCTTTCCACGAGTCATTATATAACGCAACATGCCGATAAAACAATATCGTCCGATATGAAGAAAAGTGATGAGATATACAAACACGAAGAATAGTGAAATCCGTCCGACGTAATATTTCGAATTGTACTTCACAGAGGTATATACTTCCTTCTTTTTATTATCAATTGTGTTTGCATATAATCCAAATTGCAAAATAGAAATATGTCGTGAAGGAGAAACGATTCGACTTCGATATATTCGTGATCTCTGATAACGTTTTCCAACGCATAGGTTATAATGCGAGGAACATAAAGGAAACTGGAGGAAATAATCACATTTATTCGAGACACATTTGCTTTTAAGGTGTATTATGATATCATATATCTCACCGTGGCGATATTCATCATGGGGGAGCAAACTTTGTTCAAGAGCGAGTGCCTGAAAGCTGTCAAACTGAAAAGAAAGACAATTGTGCCGGATATGATACTGCGTACTGAGAATATATTGATTCCTGTCCTGGAACCTGCGCCCAAACGAAGCTTTTACGCTCGCTTGACCAGAAATCAGCCTCAGATTTTGAAGGCACGAAAATACAAAAATAATCCTGCATTACTATTTTCAGAAACACCGTCGCATATATTGTACGATAATTTGAAAAATTTATTCAAGGTCAATCCGGAGTATCTCCTTAGAAATCCTTATTTTTCTTTCTCTTGAAAATGACTTCTGGAATGATCTTGAAAAAAAAAAAGAAAAAAAAAACAAACAAAAACATATCCAAGATTATGTTCAAAATGATCACCTGTATTTTTGACATTTGAAACCGCAGGTGAAGAAAGTTAAGCAGGGAAAGCTCGGGAATCAAAGCGCAAAGTACGCCGTTTCCGACGAGACAGATGCGTCGAGCATCAAAAGGACCGATGTTCCGCAAAACTCACACCCGTCGAAGAAACGCTCTCGCAAGAAGCAAAGCAACACATTGTATTCTCCCAACGCTATGCTAGGCCGTTTAGAGCCGATAGTGAAAGACGAGGAGCTGCAAAACGCCAGCTCCAAGTCCATACAGTTGTCAAGAAAATACAATATGTCGCGATTGGAAGAAAATCGGACGAAGGACGAGACCGAATCGATGCTCGTGTCCGAGACGCCAATTAGCAACGTCAAGAGCAGGCGGCAAATGATGTCAATACAGAGTGACATATTCCGCAACTTTACATACGCCGTTTCCACAGTGTCGACATTGTCGGGATCGAGCTTAGGAATAGAAAAGAAGAGAACGTTTGCGAACGTCGGTAACAGAGAGAAATCCGAAGCGACGTCGAATGATTTGTATCCGACCCCGAGCGAATACGAGATCAACGTGTTACATTACGACACCGACATCATGCCGGGAGAGAAATCTCCGTATTTTGCAGGGTCTCACTTAAACTCGGCCGACGTGAATAGCCTTGTTGAGGAGGATCACACTTGGATGGGTGATCGAAAAGCAGACGCGAGCGAGACTAATCGCGACGTTAAGTACTCGTGGGAAGCTTCGGACGATCGGATGTGGCCTTCTCGAAAGAGGGAACACGGCGACTCGCACGGACGGCGATATCCCGTCGAAATGTACGGCGAGTCGCGCGAGTGTCGTGTGAAATATTCCTGGCAAGTGATCGAGATGGGTACGCAGACGTCGTACAGCCTGCTGCGAGATTTCCTGAATGACACGGAGGACTTTGAGTACCCGCGCGGCAAGATCTGCAGCGTTAAGTATTCCTGGCAAATCATAGGGATCAGCACGCAGACGTCTTCGCGTAATCGCGACGATTCGGATTGGAAGAGCGTGCTGTTGACGCCGAATCAGAACTACAGCAGGAGCAGCTCGGGAATCGGCGAGAGAGAGGCGAATTCGGCGGATCGCGCGAAATATCAGGCGGGAGGAGCGAAGAGATGCCTGATATTGAACAATCAGCAGACCCAGACGTTCGCTGAGAAAGACGTTCAGGCCGACGTTCATGACTTTCACTGCGCCAAATATTCCTGGCACAATTTGATCAAGCGATGCCTATAATTACTTGGGGGAAATTCATTGCGAAATGTTAATAAAACTCATCTCCCGTACCTGTCGGAACATACCGGGGTGTCCCGGTTCTCGCAACTTGAATTTTACCGAGAGCTTCTCCGAGCGATTTGTGACACCGATTATAATGTCACTATTGGTCGATGTTCACCGGGTATCGATGATTCGACGTTACTTACTTGTCTTCTTCGGGGTAGAAACCGATCGAACTGCTCGGAAAGCCCGGTCGGTGAATGTTGCGAAAACTGGATTGTGTCACGACGATTCTTGTTAATCGTGATTACGGCGATGTTTCAGACATGGAGGAAATTTTAGAAGCACCGACCAATCAGAAGTTAGCCGGCAAATTGGAGGAGAGTAACGACCGTGCGGGATTATCCGAGAAATATCCGATAGAGCCGTTAACGCCGAACGTTTCCGGCAAGATCCGTTTGATCTCCGACGACGGTCGTGGAAAAACGAAGGACGAATTGTTGACGAGATTGACGCGCGCGTTGAAGAAGTTGCGTCAATACGAGCTGATCGACGAGCGAGATCTCGATGAGAACCGCAACACGGGGGACACCCAGTGTCTCAATGCGGATGCCGATGTCCTGCCGCGGAATGTGCAGGAAAATATCACCGGTGTCATAGATTCCGCGCAGAAATACGTGGCGGAACTGAGCGACGAACTGAAGTGCCTCGACGACGCTGATCGGCAGGTAACTCCGGTGGTTCCTCCGAAATCCTCCGTGAAGATTTCCGTAGAACTTGCGTGTATTAACTCAGGATCTTGTATTTTGTCAGATGGAAAATAGTATGATGAGAACGTTAAAAAGTATAGACGAGACATTTCAATCTTTGTTAGATGATATGTGCCGAGAGATCAATGAGAGACGCGAACGGCTGATACTGGAGGCTGAGATTCACAAGCATGAGAGCTTGATACCGCTGAAAGCTTGTAGAAAAGAGGTAGAAGCGCTGATGAGAAACGCGCATGATATCATCTCGATGAGCGAGAACATGCTACGGCATCCGGAGCGATATAACGTGAACAGCTTCGGGAAGATCGTCGATGAGAGCAGCTATATCGGCAGGTAATTGACGAACAGCTCGGGAACGTTCATCTTATTCTCATATCGACCAGGCGATAATAACGTCACGAGTCTCTCCCATTGAATATTTAATACAGCATGGTTTTTTTTCCGGATAAGGATACCGGCGGTACCGTGTCCCGAGGAGCTGTCGAGCATAAGTTTCGACCGTCTGGTGGACCCGCGCAAGGAGATCATCGAACTGATATCGGAGCTCGGCTGCATATCACGAACGGGGCCGGTTCAAATAACCAGAATCGAGCAGAAACCGGCGGGTTTCTTAGTGATGTGGCACATCACCGATCCGGAATGCACGGTGGAGGAGCAGACGTTCCTCGTGGAGAAGGCCGACGGTGAGGATCCGGGGGAATTCGAGACCGTGTATGAGGGACCCAACACTTTCTGTTTCGTCAGGAACGTCACCGTCAATCAGCCCGTCACACTCCGCGTCAGGATGCCGGACAACGACGCGAGGAGCGTGCATCACGTCGCACGGACTTCGATACCGTCGTACAGTGAGTGATGTAGAATACAGAAAATCTCTACAGGGTGAGCCAGTTAAAGCGCATCTCGGGACAGTGTTTCCACGCGACTTTCACGAGACTCATCAAAGGTCGAACACCATCTCTCACGCGTCCCTTGAAATCGAGCAACTTATGCGTGAAAGATCGTTCTGTAAAATCCTTCGCTTCTAAGATATATATTTGTCACACTTCGACTGACTCACCCGGTATATATATAAAAAAAAAAGAAAAGCAGCACTCTCTCTCTCCAACGAATCTCTTCTCGAATTCTCCCTTCTAATTAAACTTCTCTGGAATATTAATAAGTCATACAGAATAGAATCCCGACGCAATGGCGATTCGAAATCGATCGCGGATCATTCGCAAGTGATCCTGAGCGTCCCGCCGACGAAACGGTGATATCCGGTTTCCGCGAATTACAGGCTGGCAGCTCGACAATAAGGATTACGTGATCACTAACGGCGGTAAAATAGCGGCGAAGCTTACAAACACAATAAGCACACTGTTCTCGAAGGGTCCTCAGTTCAAAGCGAATTACGTGATCGAATTCAAGGTAATCCAGACGACTGGCGATCGCGTCCGCGCGTAGTCGTTTACCAATGGCGAAAAATAGTTTTTAGAAGTCTCGCAAAAAGGAAACGACCACGAAGGCATCGCGTTGGTCTACGATCCGCAAGGTGACGGCGACACTTTGAAGAGACAATACTGCCTGCTGATCACGCCTCGGGGCAAGATCTTCATGGACGGTGACGAGAAACAGATGCGCCTGCCGAGGATGCGCTCCGGCACGGACATTACGATCAGCGCCATCCGGAAGGACACTCGCACGTTCCGAATGAACATCGAGTCTGAAAATAAATGCGTCACTTATGAGTGGCGCATAAGAACGCCTCTGTACTTCGCCGCCCGGTTCACAGAGTACAAAAAGTGGAACTTGATGGTCAAGTGAAAGGAAGGAACGTGTCTGTGTGCGTGCGTGTGTGTGTTAACCTGAATTTTATTTCACAGAGGAACCGATGTAATTTTTCCAACAATAAAAGAAAGATCAAGTGCCTTACACTACCGTTCTGGTGTCTTTGGAATAACGCGCTGGCTCAACCCGAGCATCCCCTGCAACCGCAATGTATACACTCGACGATGCGACCTTCCTCCAGCTTGCCCTTCGGCACCCTGCAGATGCAATTCGTGCCGAAATTCGTGTCTCTGGTCTGGATGCATCTTAAGCAGCACAAGTTTTCGTAGCCGACCTTCTTCCACTTGGCTATCAGGTTCTTGTCCGCTATGTTCTCGTTCAGGCAGTAGTCGTACAATTCTGTCGGCGGAAATACAAAGAAATTAGATACGACTTGTCGCGACCGTACGTATTCTCGTGCGATCCTGCAATTCTCTGCCCCGGATTTCCTTTCGAAAACTATTCCGAGTATACTGAATTTTATCTCGGAATGGTCGCCCTGCATCTGGCTGAGCTGTCAGTTTTTTTCTTGTTTAGAAAGAATTTTTCTCAAGCCAGTTGCAGTCGCTCTGCTTCTTTCTCTTCATTTTGAGATAAAAACCATCTTCTCTCGACAATAGTTTCCACTTTTACGGCTTTTAGTTGAATCGAGCACTTTCAGTGGTCTCTTTTTTCCACCTCTGCTTCCTAAGCACCTGAGACGTCGGAGCTGGAAAATCTGGTCGATGAAAAATAACAATCGTACTCGTTTCAACTCACCACGACTGATCGCTTTCCTCCTGTAGAACAAGTCGTAGATGTAACGAGATTTCTGATGATGTATCTTGAATATCGGCCATAAAGATTCCTGTTTTCTTTTGCCCTCGTGAGGTTCCGTTTCAGCTGTAACGAGGTAAGCCTTAAGTTCGTCCCGCACGCTTTCGCGCTGAAAACGTTACTCCATTTTCCTTTAGCCACGTAATTCGAAATAATGATGGAACGACGCTTTTAGCACGAATGTGTGCGAGACGAACTTTGAACATCAATGCGAGACGGTTAACCTGAACACTACCTTCACGCATTTTCTGCTCCAATTCTTCCAGGGTGGGTTCGATCAGCTCCCAACCATCGGGAGGTGGCTTCTTGCTTCGCCGTACTTTTGGCATTATTTATCTCCACTACAGATTAATTTTCAACCACAATTCCCTTTTGCGCGTTTCTTCTCTACGTCGGCTCAAGCGGAGAAGTTATCCTTTGCATTCACCTAAATTGCGTTCGGGAATCCACATTGTGTGCAACCAATGGACGCCAGGGATGCGTTCTTTTATTCGCACAGAAGCAGCGAATTTATATATAGTGTCACGTCTTAACGACTGTCGGTGATTTTCTTTTTTCGTTCCAGCCTAATATCCCTATAAGAACCGCCCCGTCTACCTTGTTCAATGGCGGGAGCCTTCTCCCCTCCTAGGGTCCCAGCTAGAGGGCCCTACAGTCGGGATCCACCTTAAAAGGAGTCCACAGGGCTCGTAGCTGCCTCTCCATGTGGCGTAACTTGCGCCAGCCGATCAAATCCTCCGTGGTAAATTCAGACGATTAGATTGGCTGACTCAAGTAGACTAAATCTATTTAGTCTACTTTTAATTCTTCTTAATATTCTTCAACCTTATTTTATACTATTTCCTATAGATTACTCTTAGCTTAATTCGATAACTTCCGATATCAACGTTTTAAGGCATTTCTTCTAATAACTTAGTATTAGAATAAACGTAAGTGCAAAGAATCTCTATTTCTCTTCTCGCCTATTCAGAACCTCCAATCTCCACCTTCTTTTCCATAAATCCCAAAGGTGCTTATTGGATACCCCGCGCGCGATTCTCTTGATGCCGCAGGAACAACCAATCATTTCTCTCGATCGACACTGCGGAAGAGAGGACGGTCCAATAAATCTGCAGTGAGGATACCCAGCACGTAGATTGATCAAAAGACCGAATACGACAATCCTCCTTTGAGATGTTCTTTCCTCAAGCCTCCCTAAAGCCCGTATCAGACTTCGGATTGAAATTGAATTGAAATTTGACCAATCCAGTTCAAAGTTCACTAAATCTCACTGGACTTGCCCTCAGTTCACTTTCTGTATCCGATTGGCCCAATTCAATCTCAATCCGTAGTCTGATGCGGGCTTAACGATGTTGAGGATGCGCCAGCCGAAACCACCGCTGGAAAAGAGAGGGTTTCATACGGCTAATGGCGCCCGTGTTGGCCTGTCCGATCAATTCTTCCGCTTCTTCTGAAAACACGAGAAATGGCCTGCTCCGCTGTGCGGTCGCCTCTCCTGCGTAACCATGCGGTATGACGAATTCCATTAACTATCTCATGCCGTCGATCGCGCATCTTTCCCCGATATCGCCTCACCGTTCGACTTCACCCGTAATACAGGTGTTATGTAAATCGTTGGCGTACGATATCTGTTAACTTCTTCAGTATCTCGTGCGATTTTGCGATTTTTCTCGTGCGCACAGCGGGTGACCGTCATTTTGACGAGACAGATCACACCCAGAATTCAGTTTTCACGTACTCTGAAGTCGTACCGTTCCTCCGATCCTGTTTCACTCAATAAAAACCGCAATGATTGTGCCTTCTCAGGATATTTCACGATCAGGTGTCTTATGTGTTTCCAATACTTCTGTCACTTCAGGTAAGGCACTACGCAGCTGTCGCAGCAACTCAATCCTCCAGTGCAGCAGTCCCTGAGCTTCAGGTACTGCCGGGCAATAAAATAACGGTTGCTGCGGTCGATAACAATAATCCTATCGCCAAATTGTCGATTATCTTCAGGTATGCGCACAAAAGTGAAATTTACATGCACATTTGTCAGGATGACTTTGATCAAACTCGGGCTAAACTACTCAAATGAGTAACAATAAGAATTGCCAACACCAATAACAATTGAAAAATACCTAGTTCTCATGTATTTTAACGAAATAGGACAGGCAATATTTGACTGATTTTAAGTCATTGATTAGATTAATCGGTCTGTTAATTCTTCATCTTCAGGTCTGCACACAGAAACAACGATACAAGTTTATCTTTGTAACGACGACTTTAATCAAATTCAGACTGAACTAATTGACGAATAATAAGAATAATTACCAACATCAATCTCGAATTATGTAATTTGTCGTTCAACAATTTCTCTCTGCGTTAAGATAGAACGGATGTACACCCGCGCTATGAAATCGTCGATCAAACAGCTCGTCGACAAAATCCTGGATAATTACGAAATTATTTCCCTCAAGGTCCGCTTTCACGCTTTTAGAGCTGGCTCGCGCAATGAGACCTACGACACCCAGGGTATAACGCATCACCTTCGCGTCTTCGCTGGCTTGAGCACTTGCCGATCCACCGTCTTCGGCATCACCAGAAACATCCAACAGCTCGGTGGCAACTTAACCGCCACGTCAGACCGCGAGAGTATCACTTACACTGTGCAAGTCACAAGGGACAAACTGTAAGCGAAACCTTGCTTCGTAGATCCCCGAGAACCCTGAGGGAATAACTCGACTAACGCTTGATTCTTCGCGCTCTCCTAACAGAAGCGACACCTTGACTTTCCTGGAGGACGTCGCCACCCAGCAGGTGTTCAAACCGTGGGAGATATCCGACCAGCTTCCCAGGTTACGTTACGAATTATCCACGGTGCCCGAGACGACTCGAGTGATGGAGCTGCTGCACAAAGCGGCGTATCGCTCCGGGCTCGGTTATTCCCTGTACTCGCCGAAGAGGCAACTCGGGAAAATCAGTACGGAAACGGTACGAGTCGTATCGCCGCAGGTCGATCGATGACGCGTCCAATTTTTCACGAGGATTTTCTCCCCCTCAGCTGCAACATTTCGTCAACACCTGGTTCACCGGGTCGAACTGCGCGGTCGTGGCCACCGGCGTCCCGCTGTCGAGCGTCTCGCAGTTCGCCTCGAGCTTGAAGGTCGCCTCCGGCGAGAAAGCACCGCCGGCCAGCGAGTACCACGGAGGCGAGCTTCGCAAGGAGCGGACGTCCGAGCTGACCACCGTGGCGGTGGCTGCGGAAGCCTCCGGTCTGAACAAGGAGAAGGACGCTCTGGCTTTCGCCGTGCTGCAGAGAGCGATCGGTAGCGGACCTCGCGTCAAATGGGGCACAAGCGTGTCCCCGTTGCAGAGGAAGGCTTCTGGTGCGGCGAACGCCGACCAATTCGCCGTCTCCGCGTTCAACGCCAGTTACACCGACTCCGGGCTCTTCGGCTTCGTCGTCTGCTCGATGCCCGATGTCGCCGGTTCCGTAAGTTTCTCCATCATTCGACGATCGTGCGCGAGAGGAAAGGTTCGATTTCATTCTAATCAACAATTGAGATCTTGCGTTGACTCTTGTTATTGTTGTTTCCTTTTCGCTAATTGCGTATTAAAGATGATCCGACCGAGTTAGGGGTTTTTTTTTTTTCGTAGATCGTAAAAGCTGCCAGCTCGTATCTGAGATCGCCGAATTAACCCGACGGGGATCGAGCAATCTCGCGTTACAGTCGATCAGCCGAATGATTAATTAATCGTTCCGTTGAGTTAATCGTCGATTAGGCGGCGGTGGAACTGAGATCTTGCGTTGACTCTTGTTATTGTTGTTTCCTTTTCGCTAATTGCGTATTAAAGATGATCCGACCGAGTTAGGGGGTTTTTTTTTTTTCGTAGATCGTAAAAGCTGCCAGCTCGTATCTAAGATCGCCGAATCTCTCCGACGCGGACGTTGCGCGCGGCAAGGCCACGTTGAAAGCGGAAATACTGTTCGCCGCGGACGACGGCGCGTTGCTGTTGGAAAATCTGAGCCAGCAGGCGCTCTTCAAGGGACGCGTGTATAAAATATCCGACCTCGTCGCCGAAGTCGAGAAGATAAGCACGTCCGACGTGAAATCGGTGAGTAGTGTCTTCCATCATGAGTCCGATATTCACGCTTTCCATCCGATGAAATCACGCTTGCTATTTGTTCGGTGAAAAGTTTGAACGCTCATTCGCATTCACTCTGTATTTCAAGTATAACATAAAATGATTTGTTTTCGTTTTTTTCCCCTCTCTCTCTCTCGTGGTTTTTAGGTCGCCGGGAAATTCAACTCTGGGAAATTGTCCATGGCCTCGATCGGCGATTTAAGTACCGTTCCACACGTCGATCAATTAAATTAGACATCGCGAAAGTCCCGGACGGCGAATCGCCGATTCCCAAAGCTCACACAGCCCGGAGATGTACACATATTCATCGGTACGAAGAGAATCGGTCGAGTCGGATATTGATGTAAAAATAACAATCGTTGTAGAGAGTTTATATAGCATGCCTTTGCCACGAGGTGCTCGTTTCACCTATAATATATGATGACAGAGAAGAAATGGCGAATAAAACAGGTGGGATGTTGAAAATTTCTCAGTAAAATTTATTTTGTCTTACACGATTTTTGTCTTTTTTTTTTTTATAAATTACTCTCACGAAATACCCACAGTGTAAAATCGATGGAAGCGTACGTCTCATCCGAAACGCATCGCCGACAATTTCTACGAAATTAAGGGATGTTTCTCAATTTTGCCGTCCAACTTAGAAAATTCTGATTTGTTCTATAGAATAGTATTTGTTGTATTTCTTCGAGGAGTTCTTCTTTTTCTTCTTTTCCTTTTCCTTTCCGTTCATTATATCGTTCATCATAGGCCTTAAATTATCGAGATCTCGCAGGAACTGAGCCTGAAGAAAAGAAAACAATTCCTGTTATCGTCGCGGAGAAAACAGAGGGTTGGGGAAGTCACTTTTCAAAGGTAACGCATTGAAAAAAAAAAATAATAATAATATGTTACCTTTCCTCGTTATTCATTAGAAAAAGTTACTATTGTTGCTTAAGCAACGGAGTCGTTACAATTTCCGTCACTTCCTCACCAGATTTCGAAGACTGTTTTTGCGATTTTACTGCTTTGTTTTTATATATACCACGGATCTTATTTCCCAACTTCGAGAGAAGAGGACACGAGTGATGCGGTTTCTCGGATACTCACGTGTTCCTCCAAGACGAAGTTGAGCCGATTGAAAAGCTCCAAGACGTGGGCGTCTTGCGACATCAGGTAATGCTGATAGTAAGCATCGAGCAGCACACTGGGCCATTTGTACAATTGCTGTTCGCTTGGTTGCGAGCCGCCGTTGAACGAGTTCATCTGCTCGTTCAGCTTATTCGTCAGGTACTCCAACAATCGGAGCACCTCGTCGAACGTTAAACTGGACTTCAGGTGCGTCAGGAGAGCGGTGCTGGAATAATCGATGCTCAAGACTTTATCGAGAAAATCGTATCTCGAGTACGGATTGTCAACGGATGTCGACGCGTCGCCGTTCGGCAGCTGAACGAACACCCTGTCCGGACTTCTCAGGGAGAACGTCAAGAGATCCACCAGCAGTTTCTCCGGCAGATCCTTGAACCTGTCGAGACACCAACAGATGGACGGAATGTCGTCGAACCCGATCAAGAACGGGATCAGGTTCTCCTGGATCGCCACGTCGCTCCATCCTTCGCTCAGATAAGCGGACACTTGCTTGGAAATCTTCGGAGGTACTCGGCCCAACGACGCGTGATTGGGGCCAGTTCGATTCTTCTCCCACTCAGCCACCGTCACCTCCTTTATCTCGACGACGTCGTCCGTGTCGTCGTTGTTCTCGTAGCGCGAATACGAGCCCAACATGGCGGCTATCCTCTGGGGCGCCAGTTGATACGGCGCGACGGCCAAGTGCCTGTTCGCCGCCAGCAACAATTTGTCCGCCACCTTCCACAGCTTCGCGTCGCTCGTGTAAAGCTTCAGCTTCTGCACCGCCTGCACCAGCTTGTACTGGACGTTGTATATCATGAGGATCGCGCCCTCGTCCGTGATGTCCGCCCCGTAAACCGCTACGGTCGTCTCGTTCAGGTTCGTTATGACCACCGGATTTTTCGTATTGATGTTGCTGATCACACTGATCAACGTGCCGACTCCGGTATCGGCGGACGTTCCTGCCAAGAAGTGACTGTATAATCTACCATGTGACCCTGAACAATTGGAAACGATCAGTATTTTGTTTCACGTATAGAAAAAGTCAATATCTAGCCTATTCTTTTTAGCTGAACTGCTGAAGAGTTGAAGTGAGAAAACATACACTTGTCTCGCTTGAACTGATCGCGCTGCGGTTCAGCGGTGCGGCTAAAAAGGCGAGGCGAATAATTTTATAGTAAAAGAATATAAAGAAACAATGGAAGGTGTAAAAAGTAAAGCACAACGTACACAGAGTCAGGAAATACGCGTTATTGTTGTGCTGTATCATCGTGTATCCCGTAAGTTCCTCCGATTCTCGCTTCAGCTCGATTCTCTTGATAGTGTCCGCCTTCTCCAAGCAGGCGTTGCTCGTCAGTTTGACAACCAAACAGTTGTGTGTCTCTTCTATCTTCGTCAAGCAGCACAGACTAGTCTTTTTGTTCAGATGTATTAACTGACACTGCAACAATTTCTCCTTGGTCTTCAGTATGCCTTTACTAGCCCACGTCTTCCTGTTTGCGACCGCCCACTTCAAGGAAGCTGTGGCTCCATTCTGCTGGACCAGAATAGGCGGTGATTCGTCGTGCGTGAGAATAGTGTGCAGTGGGGAGAGAAACTTGTGTCCTTTAACATTGTTCAGGTCCTCCTCGTCCTCCGACCACATCCGTATCTTCTTTTCGTTGAAGATAGCTGCGTAACGCTGATCCCACTTGTCGTAAATCACCTGTGACGTCAGCTTGTCTTTACTGGACCAACTCCTGCTCTGCTTTAGGTCCATCAGCTGAAATGTACAGAAATTGTTAAATCTTACTCAAGACGACAACGTTGGACCGTTAGGTCAACACACATGTATTTGGATACATTTTTTTCTCATCGACTGAGAGAATTAAACTGCGAATCAAGCGTTCTGTTGAACGTGAACACTGTCGACGAAGATGTAACAAACGGTATTGTAAATAAACACCGAGCACAAAATCCCATAGAATAAAATTAACTTCATCACGTGGTTGACGGATGTTTGATTTACGTTGCGTTAAAATTAAGTCTTTTTTTTTTTTCTTAACGGTTTTGATAAGTTCGTTCATGAAGAGAACAAATACCAGTCTAACCTTGTATCGTATCACTATATTCTTGCCGAGGGATACTATCGCCCAGCCCGATTCCTTGTCCTGCTCGACGCCCAGCAGACTCTGCTGATCGATGAGCGGACATAACGTGTAGTATGCATTGAGCTTCGCCATCCTCGTAACATAGAGCGTTCGTCGGGATCTGTTTCCGGAGGAATGCTCTGCACCCACGTGTGAGCACCTGTTGTACTGGCGAATTTCTTATTTCTGGCCACCGAAAGCTAAGTCGTTGTTATTCTCGCTGATTCACTGTAGGAATTACAAACGTCTAGTCCCAAGAGTCTCCTTTTTCTCTTCCTTTTTCCCTTCGCTCCACGTGTTCTTCGGTCCGTTCTTTCTGCCGAACTGGCTGCACCGGTTGAAGAAATTCGACGTACACTGAGAATTTAGTATGTACACTTCACCTGTTATAACGTGTGAATTTCTTGAAAGGAGAACAGACCTGCCGTACACTCGTTCGTTATTGCTCTCGTGCGATTACACTAAACTCGCGCCTAGCAAAAATCAGGCGCATTTTTTAACGCTATCTGCGTTTGGCCCCGCGTGTGGCCGGGAGGTCCAAACTCCCGCCTAGCGCCATCTGCGTTCGAATATGGCCGAACTAAACGGGGGTACACATGCGTATGTGCCTGACCCGTCATCCATTTAGTTCGGCCACATCCGGGCCCGAAGGTAGGTGGCGTTGAATTTTTACAAGAGCGATTTGAACCCCCCCCCCCCCGATGAGCGGAGTCACGCTACTTCATGCGGAGAAGCGTTTCGGAATCCGACAGATGTGCGGTTGGGAGCAGTAAGACTATTTGTTGATCATTACGTTGGTATATACATCATACTACATCGTTATACATCATAAACTGCTCACACACAAGTCGGCATTCATAGTCGGGTCTTATATTTAAGACCATCTTAAGTTCATCTTTACATGTTTCGTAACCAATGAAGCGAGCCGTGTAACATCTGAAGAATACCTTAAAATGGTCCTAAATGTAAGATCCAATCTTGAATACTGGCCGTAAAGAAGCGATCATAGCAAATTTGTCAATTATCGGAAGAGTATGGAGAGCTCGTGGGAAAAAATTCAGAAAATATAGAGAAATGCTTGAAAATTAAAAACAAAAAAAGGAATTAATGGAATGTCACGAATGACGATGTAAGTATACCAATCAAATGCGATGCGGCGAAATCTCATGATCGTTGCGTAAAAGTTTTCTGGAATTATACAATAACCTAATTAACATACGGAAATATCATAAAAAATTAATATTCCTATTAAGGAAATGTATCATTGTATTTGCATTAGATCTAACTGACATCCGCCATATCTGCAATCTATTAGATTTCGATATTCACGTTCCAAATAAAGAGAGAGTGTGTTTAGAAAATTGTATAAATCTTGCAAATCCGCACTTAGCCGCAGCTGACTGCTCTTCGAGTACAAAATAAAAGATTCACCGCACCTGGTCCAGTTATTAAAAGTGCCGACGATCTTAAACATCTTTTTCTTTAACTTAGTGATAAATTCGACAACATATACTTTTCTCCATTAATCGTTCCGATTCAGAAGGAGGTTGTACAATTCTAAGCTCGTTTTCGTATATTTCAAACATGTACTGTAACTCAGGAGAAGCCTTTATTAGAAACAAGGACGAAATCTGAAAACTGACTCGTACAGATTTCCAGGAAGCGGACGGAGATACTCGGAATAACTGGAGTTATTGCAATAACCTAGAAACCTTGTGGACAGAAGCGCGATAACTTCGAGGAGTCAGTTTCTCTCCTCCATTTAAGCCCCTTAAGCTCGATCCACAGTGCGTCGCCGACGAAGGCCCCCGTTGCGCCCGCGCTGGTATCTGAGAGCTCTCCGGTGGCGGCGCCGGTTATCATCATCGCGTGCGATAAAGCAGGATGAATTGCGACGCGAGAAGCCAGACGGGAGAAGAGAGGCGGCTCGCCGGCCCAGCGGAGGAAAGTCCGAAGCGGAGGCTGACGCTTCGCCTGAGATGCGCCCTGAGCGCGGGGTTGTTCGAGGGGATTTGCGCGCATTGCCGGAGCGGCGGGTCCCACACGTGATCGTCCCGCAGGCCCAGCAGCAGGATATATTGGCTGTTCCAGCTGACGGTGACCTTGGCGCGCAGCCCCAAGGTCGAGGGCGCCTCGACGAGCCGGGGGACGCAGTCTCTCGACCAACCGGTGAGCGGCGTGTCCTCGGCGTCGCCGGGGATGAGGATGCTCTCGACGATGTGCAGATCCAGCTCCGTCGGTCCGGATGGCACGTTCCAGACGGGTCTCTTGCTTGGGTCTCCCAGCAGAAATCGATCGACGTTGTCGGTCAGCGACCTCTTCCTCGGCCTCTTCTTCTCCTTCGTGTAAATGCGTGTCAGCAGTCGCTCCTTGCTTTCCGAGGAGGCACTGATGAAGTTACCACCTCGAGGACGGTTCGGGGAGCTCCGGTGGACGTCGGTCGCACTCCTCTTGAAGAAGAACCGCGCGGAGTTGTTGAGGAGCCGGAAGAAGTCGGATAACTTCCTGTCTTGGGAGCGACGCTCCGTCCCGTTTCGCTGAATGTAACTGCCAGCCGCGGTGATCGAGTAGAGGAGTATCGAGCAGTGAGGGTCCTCGTAGTAGTCCCACCGACCGGTCCACAGTTTGTCCTCCGAGTACATCTGGAATTGTCTCTTGGACCAGACGCCACCCTCGGAGCTCTCGCATCTCTCGCTCAGCCAGTAGCCGCCGATCAGCGCGGGCAGGGCCGCCGTCACGTGGAGAAGAGGTGGGCTCAGCTCGGTCGCCCGAAATACGCTGCCGCATATCGCGCAATCGCTTGTCTGCAACAACACCTTCACCTCGTTATTCGTCACGTCGGACTTTATCCCCTGGATTAGTTAATGCTTCCTTATGTTAATGCAGGCCCTAATTTCTCCCTGCGGAACGTCACTCTAGATTTGGACTTCGAAACGAAATGAAATCAAGAAGCCTGGACGAACGTACCCCGTTGGCGTCGAGCAGGACTGTAGGCTGTAACGAGGTCGCTTTGTAAATCCTGCGGAAGGACACGTTGGGCGTAGGGCTACCTAAGAGAAGCTCGAAGCGGGGCCCGTGATAAGAAGAGCCGTTGGAAATCCTCGGTAAGAACAACCTTCGCTGCACCCTCAGCAATCTCAACTCGGCGAATTCTATTCTGAACGCGTCCAAGCAATCCATACGCTTCCTCCACGGCGTGTGAGCCTGCAGAGTGTTGTAGACCGGACCTTGCCAGAGTTGTGCCGTTGAATGTTGCCGCGGTTGTTCATAAATCAGCTGAGGCACGTAAGGCCGCCATCTCGGCTGAGGGCCGCAGCTCAAATTCATCCTCTGTTCGAATTTATGAGCGACCTGGAAAATATATCAGTTTGTGAGGAACTTTCCCGCTACTACGCGTTATCAATGACTATCAGACAGTAGCTTTCCATTAGCTCTCAGGGGGATCTTAACTCCCCTCTTGCAAAAGTGTGGAGTGGGGATGCAAGTAGTACAGTTATGGCGCGTGAAAACCCCCTTCACTTGACTTAATTATTCGGGGAGGTGTCGGGGTATTTTAACAAATATTTTGGGGAGATGATGGAGGGGAGGCCGAGCAGTAGGGGATTTTTTGGAGGGGTTGTTCCCGACTCTTTTAGAAAGTTCGACCATGCGGATTTTTCCGGAAGAGCACGTTCAACGGCGGAAACTGCTCCGAAGTCCGGCGCTATACACGTGGCGTAGGGAAGAGAGGGGGATAATTTTATTTTGTAGTTGTATCGTTTTTTATTCCAACGTGGAAATATGCGACAGGAGGTGCCATCGTCTTGGCTCTTCGCTGGTAAAGCCCGAACTGACGAAGCGGTGACGAGAGCAAGGAGTGAAAGGGTGAGTGAGTGGAGAGAGAACTCAGCGCGAAGAAGAGAGGGTGGAACATTTATTGTTTAGCACGGGGGTGTGAATAGATACCTGAGCGTATTTTCGGGTAATGCACGTGTCTCGACAAATTTCGCCAAGCGGCAGAAAGAATGTTCTGAAAATGAAATTGGGAGGAGGGATAAAAACGTAGTCTTTTTAGAGATACAATTCGTTTTTATTTAAAAGGGTAAAATGTGTCCCGTTATACATTATGCTCGTGCTCGTTGTGGAACGAGAACTTAGTGTAAGGAATAGAGGGTGGAACATTTATTGTTTAGCACGGTGCCAGCCATGGTGCATCGTTGTGATTGGCCGTTTGAAGCGCGCGTTTCGAATTTTGGCCAGTCGACCGCGTGTCAGCTATGATGCGTCGTTGTGATTGGCCGTTCGCAGCGCGCGTTTCGAATTTTGCTCGGTCAACCGCGTGTCAGCTATGGTGCAAAGGGGAAGGGACCTGTAGGGAAAACGTGGCCGTTGTCAGGCGAGTGACAATGTTTCTCTGATCCATTACATAGTAAAATCATTGATGCGAACCCACGCGTGTTTCTTCGCCTGTACTTATGTTCGGCGCACCGAGTGAGAATGAGAATGTCATCCCTTTTTCTCGCTTTCACTCGGCCGATGCGATTCAGGTTGCTAATGCTTTCTCACCGTGGATCTGTCAAGGAGACCATATTTTTGTATGTTTTCTACCCATCACGCACCTCTAACGTATTTTAGACACAGTGCAGATCAGAAGGAGACGAGAATCGAGCCGTCGATTATTGTTTCGCGTCGACTGGATGTTCGAACAAACGTTTATTTCTTGCGTATAAGTGGCACATCGCGAATTATACGAATTAGGCCGAATGTCGTGTATAAAGATATAAATATTGTTCCTGGCAAATTACACTCAATGTTAATATATATATATGTAAGCGAAGATTGGTTATCAATTAATACATTTCTTTTTAATTAAACTATTAACTTTACGTTGAAAAAAAATCAATACTAATTTTGACTGCTCATAAATTTATTTATTCTTCTGTTGTCTCTTCTCGCTCATAAGATAATTAAAGAATTACTATTTTATTAAAAAGAAGAGAGAAAAATACTTGAAAGGAAACCGTTAATATAAGAAATCCAACTCAGACCTAGCAGTCAGACACTCTACCGCACTGCTACACATCATTTTGTTCGTACTATTTCATTTTATACGCGACGCTGAAATCTTTCTTCGTTAATAATTTTGGAATGGTTTGCTATTTACATCTAATATTCTACGTTTGTACCCAGGAAGTCCCTCCTACAAACTATTAAAGTTGAATCATATCTGCGTTGCCGACTTCGCGTGGTCAAACTCTGTGCTCGTAGCGTAGCGAAAGCGTTGCAAACATTATTTTCATATTATTTGTATTTATTCTGAATCTCAAATTCATTTGTGAGTACCTGTCGATTTAAAGGTGTAATATAAACAGCATCCACGTGAATCTTCGCCTCAGTCGCACCGGAAACGACGTTAGATGGTCCCAGCAATTTGATCGAGCCTCGAATCCTGACGGTGTGCGTAGGCATACTGCACGACATATCGCCGTAATGATAACGCAATAACAGAAACGTGCTGTTCTTGAAGAACGTATATTTCCTGATCATGTACTCTGGACCGGCAAATACTTCGCATCTACAACAGAAGAGCTGATATTATAAGGTGTGCAAATTAATTCGGTGCCTCATAACTCCGTTTTCAAACTTGATAATTTCCCGCCCTTTTCCACCGTCCATTTTTCATCGAAAATGCGAACCACGTTTAAACTCAGCAGTCCATTGTTAAAAATTACAATTTTTATTGTGGAAAACGAAGGAGACGTTTCGCTCAGTCAACCGTTTTCAGTTATATAGAATATTTTGTTTGGTCCCCATTCAGTTACAGGAATTGAGGTGTTTCTTCGCACATCCTACCGCGATAATGACAGATTCCAGTCTTACTATATCGAGGAAACGACAATTACTCTTGAGACAACCACGTGGTATGCAATCTGGAATTCCTCTCGTCCACAACTGTGGCGAGGTCCTCTTGTTCGGTTTCCTTTAGAATAATTTCGCATCGCTCGAAAGAGCGCATAGTCTCAGAACCCCAAAGCAAGGTATGGCCTGTTCCAACTGTAACACAAACATCGCCCGATACATTAGTTCAACGAAGAATTGGTAAGTTTCTGGACTCGAGAAAACAATGAATGGAAATAACGGAAATAAATCCCCGAGCGCGTTTTTTTACGGAGAGATGAACGACCGTAATGATGAAACGAAGACACACACGCAGTCAAATCGGGCTTTACATGACAGGAGTGAGACACGGGTCGCTAGGTAAAAAAAAAAAAAACGCAGGATTCGCCGAAAAATGTGTATTGAAGTAGAGGGCGACTACGTTGAAAAGTAATACTGTTGATTTCTTTCTATCAATCACTTGTAAAAATTCTAGGGCCAGGCCGGAAACTTTTGGAACTTATTACGTATGTGAGTTGTGCTAACATAGCACAAATCAACACAAGCTTCAGTTTTACTTGTGGGGGCACAACGATATAAAGAGCAGAACTAAAAAAATTACAAAATCGAAAAGTGGGTGGCTAGCCAAATTTTTTTTCAATTCTTTCCGTGCATTTTTTGTATTAGATTTATAATTCGAGCACAATGTAGCACAAATCTAGTACAAAACAGTCCAGATACCTTAACTCGAAAAGGAGGCTAACTTCGTTCAAGCTATAATTAAAAAAATTATACAGACATCCTCTTGAATTTGAAATAGAAAGCTTTTAAAAGACGAAAGCGCACCATTATTAACATCTTAATTCATTCTACATATCCATAAAAACTCCTCTAAATCAAAGAGTTCGCTTTATGTAAATAGAAATCTCCTCGGAAATCCTCCTATTCCTATAAATTGAGTCTTCGTCTGGCTCAACAGCAACGGAAAATCCAATTACATCAACAGAATTATGTTTTCCGTGTAATATGTAAAATTTTTCATCAATAAATATATAATACAATTTCAACGAGTTAAGTTAATATAAATTTACCAAGATTTTTAGCAAAATATTCCCTTCTCTCTCTCTTCGTCCTTCTTTCAATTTGATGGAAAGTTTATATGTTTAATAAAGTGCTTGCTCGAGCACGATTGATTATTTTCTCGCGCGCACGCATAATCGGGCGCGCATAACGTTACCAGCGGAATGTCATCGCGAATGACAGTTCTTGGAGATGCAATAGGAAATTGTAAAAGGAAATTAAAAGACGCAGGGAATAGTTCGACATGCTCTCACGACTGTTTAGTATTCAATTGTCACGCGGCATCTCCCGCGATGTTGTTCTTTTATTGGGCGTGTTATTGTTGCGATTGGTATTCCGGCTGTGCGTTGGAACTTCGACAGCGATTGGTAATGCAACGGCATGCCGGTGACGGCAACGACGCAGGTACGATGCATAGCGACGATTTTTATCGGACGTACTCGGAAGGGAATAAGTGAAGAAATTGTTGAAGTTGATGCGTTTGTTTTTCTATCGAACTCTGCCAGGAATCCTGATTTAAACAAAACGGGAAGTAAATGTATCAATTTCTAGACAATTAAAGGAGGAATCGGAAAGATTTTCTTTTTTTTGCAGTTTTGGTCAAATTTGGATTCTTAAAAATATTTTCCCGGAACGTCGAGTTAAATTGAAAGTAAAATAACGAAGTTATAACAGTTTGAAGACAGATCGATTCCCGATAGAATTTTACTCTTTACGTTGAAAACATTTTCCATCATTGACTTACATTTATTGATGAGTAAAATAATTAATTATTTTGGAAAAGTATTCTTTCTAGTCCTGTTGCCTGTGGTGCGCACGTTGATTATACACAGGCATATTATAGAAACCTACGGGTTTTATCGCCGGTTCCGAACGGCACTTTTTTTTTAGAGAGGTTCCTCTTTGGCAAGGATATTCTCGGTGGTTTGCCATTGCCTTCCGAAAGGTGGTGTAAAGTATTTGTCACTTCTACCAGGATCGAACCCGGGACTGCTGGCATAGTAGACCAATTCGCTATCTGCTATGCCACGCTCTCTTGCAAAAGTATAAATATATAATATATAAAAATCTGTTTGAATAATTGAAAATCTAAGGCGCAAAAATGCACACATTCTTTTTTCATTCTATACATTGAGAATTATCCTTATTTAAATATGTGAAACTTATTTAAAACTAAAAAGTACCCCTGTGTTGAGACAACCCTAAAGGATGGTAAGGATGGATTCAGACAATAATATCTTCATCAAATGTTAGCTTTCGCGCAACTATTTATTGTTATGTGCTCCGAAACTGCTCTCCTGCGAATTTCGCTCTTCTGAAAATTTTGTTTCCAAGGCAAACGCTGAAACGTATCCTACGTTCCATCTACCGCACGTTAATTGCGTCTCGATTGCTCTTCACACATGTAACTCACGTGTTCCGTGCAACTTCCTCTTTACCGAATACTTCCCCCTCGCATTTTTCTTCTCGAACTCTAACAAGAACTCGACAAATAAGAACATTTCCTCCGCCACTAACACCGTGGCGAACAGTGGCCGGTATTCATAGTATCCGTACATCTTAAGATCGTCCTTAATTTCATCTTCAGATGCTGCGTCGTTCATTGGCTACGAAGCGTCTGAAGACGAACTTGAGACTTAAATCTGACCAAATCTACACTCGCTAAGTCTCCCATCCCCCTCCCTCCTCAGCGACTTTATCATACACGCAAGCAACTATTCAGTATTACGAAAACTCACGAGTGTGCTCGTGAATGTTTTCACGATCCCTCAATTATATTTCACAAGCATGCACGTCGCGTACTGATACTTACTTGTCAACAGCATACCGACGAGGACGGTTAACGCCGTCGATTTCATTTCCGTATCGCCGCGCGGTGCGTCAACGAACGATGAGGAAAAACTCGCGCACGACACTCGGCCGCCACCCCGCATGGACCGACACTTCGCGCGTCAACAGTTCGCCCGGCGTCGACAACCATGCACCGCACTTTTCCCTAGGATGAATCGCTTCATCGGCGACCTACCCCAAGACTATATAGCCTCAACCCCACTCCGAACCTGCTGTCTTCCCTTTCGGTTGTTCCCCTCGTCTTATCCAGCAGCGGCGAAGCCAAGAGAGATACTTACCGATTCCCATTTCTCTCCACACTTTCGGAATCAGGCCGAATCCCGTGGCGAGGATTTATTTAGCGTCTCGACTCTCAGTGGTTCCACAGCCCCACTGAGACCCTTGCCGAATTTGCCGAGAGAGAGAGAGAGAGAGAGAGAAAGCCCTTAGGAACATCTATGTGAAAACGTCGCATCCCGTCGCAACGCACGACGGCAGATTCTGTACTCCGGTGGAAAAAATGTGGATCAGTTTCGAGAAAAGGAAGTAACGTGTATAAATTCAGAGTATTTCTCATCTGAACGTAATGTAATAACGGAAATTAACGTATTTTTTTTACTCTAAATATATTGTAGTGTTGTATTCCTAATATTTATCTTACCTATATAGATCGGAACTTTTCGTATAAAAATATATAAAATCGGAAATATGGGAAGAACTCAACATGTCCTCTCTATAATGATGAATATATCGATTTATACGATACACAGTTGCGAGCATAACGTAAAAGTAAGAAATTATTGTCACATAATTAATTATAAGATTTTAACACGATATTATGCGAAATTTCAATATGATAAAACGATTATCCGCACACACACTCAATGCCAGTGTATTATATCGAGATTCTTATAATATCGATACTTATATAAAGCCGTTTTTTCCTTTTTTCCCCGGTTTGTTGTATAAAATAAAAAAGGAAATGCCGGTTCAAAAAACGCGATTTTTCATGTCGGTTTCAATGCCTGCTGGTGTTATCTCAGAAATCCGTGAGTCCATAGTTTGCCTCACATACGTTCTTCCCTTGACAATTTTCGACTTAATCCGATCCGCTATTAATCAAGACACATATTTCGTCAACGGCTCCTCCATGATTACGCGCGTTATCACACCAGTTGTAAATTCATTTCTCAATATGGATTTAAGCAGCGGTTTTCGCTTCACCATTCTCGTGCCGAGTTATCGTACGAGCTTCACCAAGCCGAGCTTCACTAAGCAACTGTAACTACCTAATACGGCTGAACGGCGAGCCAGTTGATTTACGCGCAGCAGATCGCACCAACCATTCGTGGCACGAGGATTAATAATCGCAGATTCGCCGAGAACGAGACGAGAAAAGGAAGCGAGATGGAAGATGTTCTCACGACCAGCGTTCCGTTCAATGAAACGGGTTCTTTCGACCGCTTCGTATTCGGATGGGTCGATTACACGTGCTTCGGTTTGCTGTTACTCGTCAGCGTCCTGATCGGCCTGTACTTCGGCATCTACACCAAGCAAGACACTCCGATTGAGTACTTCCTGGGTGGTAAACGAATGAAAATCTTCCCCATTGCGATGAGCGTTGCTATCAGGTTGGTGAATCCTTACGGAAAAATAAGCTCCCCTTATAGAAACTGATTATTGCTAAACCAACGATGAATTACTTACTTACTTGGAATATTTCAAACATCGTTGCGAGTAATGATAGAGCTCGCAGTGATCGCAAATATTTCAGCGCTTGCAGCGGTTAAATATGATTAATTCGTTCGTTTGTATCAATGATCGTTCGAGCGAGATTTCCTTTGGATTCGAAGCGAACGTCTTCTGTTTCAGTAATATTGCAGGAACCGCCTTGTTGGGTATACCAACGGAGGTCTTCTTTTACGGTTCACAATTCGCGATGTGCATATTGACAGCAATCTTCGGAGGCATAATCACCATTTATACCCTCTTGCCGGTATTTTACAAGCTGCAACTAACCAGCGTATTCGAGTACCTGGAGCTTAGGTTCAATAAGTCGGTCAGGACCTTCTGTTCTCTGCTATTCACCGTCTCGCTTTTCATATATGTACCCGTCGTCATTTACGCACCTGCCCTAGTTTTCGCGCAAGTCACCAATTTAAATCTCCACGTAATCACGCCAGTGCTCTGCATTTCGTGCATCATTTACACCACTATCGTAAGTAGCACATGGAACAATTATTTCGACATTATTTAATACCCGCGATTAATTGCTAACTGTTACATCGACGGTTTACTTTGAATTTGTAATCTCTTATCTCACAGCACAAGCACATACGCACAAACAAAAAAAACGAATAATGTAAAGCTAAAAATATGTATATATTTTTTTCAGTATGAAATATTAAATTATATGTATGCATAAAATAATTATATAATTATATACATAGGCGTAGGAAACTTTAATTTTTCTTCAATTTTCTTACTCGAAGGTTTCCCGAGCAATTTTTTTCAGCACAAACGTCGAGACATCAATAGTTTCTCAAATATATTAAATGAAGAAAGCGCGAATTTTCGTAAACTTTGAACGACCAAACGAACAACAAAATTATTTCCTTCGATCAATTTGAGTTCTATTTTGACAGAACTTTTTCTCAAATATTGATTTTACTTGTCCTCTTTTAGATCACACAACTTTTGTCTGAAACATTTTTCCGTATCTTTTCGAGATATTTCGATGCGAAAGTTAGAATGAGACACGATGTGTGTGCATATATTTCAATTCATTTTCAGTATGAAATATTAAAATAATAAAGTAACATTTATACATGTAAATCTCAGCCGTGAAAATTAAATTTTATAGAAGAAAAATAAAATTCTTTATGATGTAATTTACTTGATCAGGATTTTACTTATAATTCTATTGAGGTATCGCTGAATTTTATAATCTACTGTTTTTTTCTCTTATGCACAAGGGTGGTTTAAAAGCGGTGGTATGGACAGACACTATGCAAATTGTTGTAACTACAGTTGGACTCATAACGGTCCTAACGCTGGGAGTAGAATCCGTCGGCGGTTTGGGAGAAATGTGGAGAATTGCTGGAGAAAACGGTCGTCTTGTTTTTTTCGAGTAAGACAAAAGCAAACATTTCAACTATCTCTAAAATAACTAATTTTTCAAAAAAATGTTTAAAACAAAAGTTTTAAATTTTATAAAAGCGCATTTAATGCGCATTTAAAGCGATATATATTTGGGTGATATCGCCAAAGTCTGATTAAGGCCAACGTGTATTTTTTTAAACAGTATCACAGTATGACTTACGATTCCTCGGGTCATTCGATAAAAACGTAAGATCTCGAAGAGTGAAGGACTTTCCGAGATACATTCCTTATACTCTTCAATATAAGATACGAAATATCACTTGAAGTAATCACTTTACGACAACCTCAATATTTTTTACTTATCTAGAAAACGAAAGAAATAAATTAACGATACTAATTATCGCACATTGGTGAAACAGTATATTTGCCAAATGATTTTTTTAAGGTTACTTATATATTTTTTATAGCAATCGATTCTTCCCGTCATTCTATAATAGCGTTAAAGTTGTCGAAAAGTTAATACCTTTCGTTCAATGAGTGCGTTCACGAAACTCAACAGTTGCACATCCGTTGAATAAGCGCTCGGTGATAGAGCTGAACTCTATTATTACTGATCTATTATTACTATACATTTCCGCATTAATATTTACATTCTCTTCATATCAATCACGGGCTGCGCCATGTTGGATCAGAAACTGATGAGCAGCGAATTTTTCCAATGAGAAAAATGGTGACTTAACACGTTGAGTGAGCGCATCGCTTAGTAACATTCAGGAGAAAATTACAATTGCGCAATTGTTGAATCTCGCGAACGCATTCAATATCAGACGTACGTTAAATGCGTCTATTATAATCTCACAACTTTTGTCTGAGAAACTCTTTTCGGAAATTAGTTATTTCCGATACCGTCTTTTCGCGCTCATTGAGCAAATGATATTTCTTTCCTATTAGTATGAATCCAAGTCCGTTCGTGAGAAACTCGTTTTGGATTACGGCTTTCGGTTTATTAGGAACATGGCTGGGTCATCTCTCCATTCATCCAGGAATGGTGCAACGATATCTGGCGGTACCCACAGAAAAGGACGCGAAGCGGTAAGCTTTTCGAAATTTCCGAAGCAATTTTCCACACGCTTGATAGTGATTTTTCCTTTTCATCGCATATAGTGGTTTGATAATTGGTTCGATGACAATAGTCCTCTTGCAAATAATGAGCGTGTTTACCGGATTAGCTACATTCGCCAAGTATTACAATTGTGATCCCATCCTGACAAAGGTACGGAAAAACGCTTCAACTCGAAGTGATATATATATATCTTGATTTACCAAAGTAAACATCAATATTTTATTATTTCTCCAAATCATGATTTTATCTTTATTCAGACGGTAAAACGGCCCGATCAGATCACACCATATTACATGATGGACGTCGTTGGGCACCTGGTGGGACTTCCAGGATTATTCATAGCGAGCCTTGTAAGCTCCGCGCTCGCAGTTATGAGCACCAATTTGAACACTATATCCGGCACGGTATACGAAGATTTAGTATGTCCATGGCTTCCGGATGATATGAAGAAAAAGGAAAACGTAGCCACTAACTGTATGAAGGTAAGATTTCCTCTTGAAATTTCTCCGGATAAAATTTTCCTAGAAAAGTCTGTCCCGCAAGATTAGCTGGATTAACGTGGCAAATACGTTTTGATTAGAGGAAACGGAATCTCTGTTCTTCTTAAGAACCGAATTTCATCCCAAAATTCAGAAATTCTGAATTTCCTTCAACTAAAACACGCTCATTTCAAAGAAATCATATTAAATTAAGTAAATTGTGATTAGTTATCAGGCGTCTGATATTAATTTATGCTTGATCGCTCGTCGACATTAATATTATGAAAAATGAAAAACAAATTGGAAAAGGGAACAGCCCATCGCCACTTTGCTCGCTAGTTGCTCCTCTTCGTATTTACGGCACGCGAGAAACTTGACATTTTTCGCTCGCTTGAAAGCGATGCTTTATTGATTAGGGCGCAGTTTTGCGGCTTGTTAGAATTTCAGTGAAACCGGTGTGGGGAATCTGATCGATCCTTTGAAATGAACGCGTTTTAGTCGAAGGAATTTTTGAATTTCTGGTTCAGAATTTCTGAATTTCGGATTAAATCCGGTTCGTAAGAGGAGGAGAAATTCTATTTCCTTTAATCAAAACGCATTTAATCCAGCTAATCTATGTTCCGCGCTGAAATTGTTCCGGCCAGCAGGAAGTCCACCGTTTGGGAGCGGCTTTCGACGGGTTAGAATTTGAAAAATCGATTATGCAAGCACTGAATCGGATGGGAAGAGTTGATTCTCGGTCTTTCAGGTAATCAGCGTTATATGCGGCATGATCGCCGTGGGCCTAGTCTTCATGATCGAGAAGTTGGGCACAGTCTTTGAGATGGGTTTGAGCATGCGCGCAGTGTGCGACGGGCCCATGTTGGGTCTCTTCTTTCTGGGGACTATGGTGCCCTGGGCGAACGCAAAGGGTGCGATGGTGGGCGGTAGTTTCGGTATGGTCATCATGGTATGGTTGGTGGGAGGTGCCCAATGGAAAATAGCACAGGGCGAAATCAAACACCATACACTGCCTACATCGGTGGAGGGTTGCCCGTACCCATTAAACGAAACTCTTTTGATGGCAACCACGATAACTCCTGCCGCATCGGACAGCAATGACGAGCCAATGATACTGTATCGTATCTCTTTCATAGCCTTTGGCACCGTAGGAGCCTTGATTGCCATCATGACCGGCACCATCGCGAGCTACTTCTTCGGCGTCGACTTGGAGAGCGTGGATCCCGATCACATCGCGCCGTTGATGAGAAGGTACGTGAAAGATGGAACCAGCAGGCTGTATCCCCGAATAAAAATTGCCGGTGAATCAATTTACTCGGCGAAATATTCGAGTCGCCCCGGGAAAGCAGCAGGAAAGCGCTCGCATAATATTAGAAAGTTCCTCTTAGATTTTCCAAACTATTTCCATTACAATTACTAGTCGAAATTGTAGCTACGATTGCGAGTTCACGGAATATTAAAATTAAGAAAATTATGATCAGTTATCGGGCGTCTGATATTGATTTATGCTCGGTCGTTCGTCGACGATGATATTTGGAAAAACGAAAAACAAGTTGGAAAAGGGAGCAGCCCATCGGCACTTTGCTCGCTAGTTGCTCCTCTTCGTATTTACTTCGTATTTATGGGAAACTTGACGTTTGCTTGAAAGCGATGCTTTATTGATCAGGGCGCGGTATTGCAACTTGTTAGAATTTCAGCGAAACCGGTACGGGATGTCTGATCGGTCTCTCGTTGGAATTCTTCCGGGATAAATCTCACAGGTTTCGAGTTTCTTTTTACTGCTGTGATAAAACGCGTCTATATAATAACGTCGCAGCGACGAGACGTGACTTCCAGTGAGCGCGCCTAATAAAACGGATTAAGATTACCCCGGTAATAAGAGAAAAAAACCAAAACGTCACCTATCTCGCTCGTTACGCGCGATTCATTTAATGTCGCCGTCGCGTTATCGCCGATCCGGCGACGCGGAATAGCACGCGAGCGAGATAACGGTGATTGTTCGCGTTCATTACGCGCGCATAAACCGAGCCTTATCACCGATCGACGTTTCCTCCTTGACGTTCTCTTTGCTCACGTTCTCCTCAGGTTTCTCCCCCCACGAAGGAAGTACACGGAGGTCTCGTTGAACGAAACACCGTCGTTCAACGTGCCGGAGCAATCGCTTTAGTCAGTGACGAGCGAGTAAACGGAATTGACCTCAGAAATCGCCAGGCACAGCCGCACTACTCGAAGAGAACGAAAGAGAGAGAGAGAGAGAGAGAGAGAGAGGGAGAGGAGGAAAAGTTGGAAAAGCCACGTTGCTTTCAAAGTCATCTGATGTACCGCCCAAACAAAAGGGTATCTCTTATTGATTAACAGACGCATGCGCCGATACCACGGCCGACACACGCCGGTTGTTTTCGATCTCTCTCAGTATCGTTCCCAGCGTCCGTCGCAGGAGTGTTTCATCCGGCTGCCGCGATCGGGAAACCCGCGGAGAAAGCATCCCCCGGCGAACGGAATCACCATCGTCATCGGTCGACCTCACCCGATCGTTGTTTTTCCACCGAAACTCGAAGGGACCATCGGAGAACTCGCGATACCAGGAGAGCGTGCGTCCAAAAAAAGGAGAGGGAAGGGGAAGGGATTTGATTAAATAACAAGGGTAAAAATGAAATTATCGATGAATACACGTGGAAATAAATATCGCAAAAGCGGAGCGTTTAGGCCGGTGGGTATAGGGACGAGGGTTTACGTCCCTGAAGATGTTGCTCGGGGTTGCTCGGGGATGGCCGCGCGTCCTCGGGGATGAGACGACCGCGCCTACACGTGGGACGAGTGTCCTCGCGAGTGTCGGCCCTCCGGAGGCCTCGCGTTCAACAAGTACAAGCGGCGTCTCCCCGTCTCGGCGAAGCTACGCTCCGGAGTGATCATCCGCCGAGGACGATCGACGCGCTCACTACGTGCGAAATCGTTCACGTCGACCGGGCTGCGCGCGACGCGCTCTCGGGATGCCCAGGGAATACGCGAAGCGTTGAATCGCCATTTATGAATCCCGAAATTTTCCCAACCGCGCCGGTGTCGCTCGGTTCCTCTGCGATCTGAACTTTCGTGCGATCCTCTGTGCGGTACCTGAGATACCGGGAGATCCGAAGGGAGAGCCAATCAGGCCGGTCGCTCGATCAACGACGAGAGATGCGTCGATCATCGATCGGCAGACGTTGAGATCACCAGGAGGCAGATTTCCCCGGTGGAGCCCGGACGAAGTCGACGCCATTTCCGCCGACGGCAGTGTCTCGACTTTCACCTCGCGGAGACGAGCCTCCCGTCAGCACCCGAAGAGAAGATCATGGCCGGCGTTTCCGGTGAGTGCGGGGTAAATCACGCGCGAGAACTCGGCCGGATAGATGCAGCCCGGTGGAGGGAAAGTTCGCCCGGAGGAATCCCAGGTGGTCTTCGTTATTGCTTCATCGGCCAACGGGCGGCGGCACGGGTAGCATGCCGGGACGTGCGTACCGCGCCTCGCTTTTAATAATAGATAAAAAACGTGCCGGAAAAAGAACAGGAACCCGGAGGGTATTCCGAGAGAGAGAGAGAGAGAGAGAGAGAGCCTCGGCCGGCGATGCTGAGGAGAGGATGCGTTCACCACTCGTGTCATCAAATTCGCGTGACGCGCGTCGTCGTTCGTGTACCTTGGATCGGGTTCCCGTTGACGCACCGTCGGTTGGCTGAGTCGTGAGAAAGCGCGCAAAGAGAGAGAGAGAGAGAGAGAGAGACTCCCGGAGGACACGGAAGGCGCACGACCGGTTCCGACGATAAAGAAGGATAGTGTCATTGCTCCCGTCACTCGGCTCGTCGAACAAGGATCGATCCTTGATGGGGATGAACGACTCCGCGAGGCTTCTCATCGTCGGAGACTGTTCTTATCACCGGCTGACTTCCTTCCTTCCTCCTCGCGAAGCGGAGGCGGTGTAATATTCGGTGACAGTCATGTTGTCCGTTCCGATCGGCTGAGACCCTTCCTTCCTCTCTCTTTCCTCTCCTCCTTCTTCTCATTTCCTCGAGAAGCGGACTCGGAGCGCGCGGATGCGATGAGAAAGGTACTTCCTGGAAATGACGTCGCCGATGCAGAGGAGCTTGCTAGCGCTAACGGTGCTGACGGTGATCGGCCTGGCGATCTTCCTGCTCGGTAAGCGGCTCGCGCTGGAGACTCGAAGGAGGGACAGCCTGCTTCTCGACATGATCGCGAACATCAGCGGCAACCTGGACAGGCTGGACACCGGCTTCGACAACATCTCCGCGCAGACCGGCGTCGCGAGGAAACGCCTGCGGCAGCTGGTCGCGCTCCACCGGGAGAATCTCTTCGTGTGCGCGGCGCTCGGCAGAAAGACGGCCGCGAGAAGGCCGCGGAGAAGACGGCGCTTCGCTGGGACGCGATGACGGGCGCAGCAACGGCTCGCGCCGAAAGTGTTGGTAAATCGATGGCGCAGCTCTCGATAGCGACGGACGCACCATTCGATCGACTCGAATCCGATCCCTCCCCTTTTACCGAGCATTGTGATTCTTTGAAGCGTCAACTGATTCCGATGTTACGTCGATGTTATAATCCCCCGCGAAATCATGTCAGTGCAGCATATGTAACAGTTATATCGTTGAGCGGGAGGTTACAATGTTTCGTCCTCCCCGAAATCCTACGATTTTTGTCTGAAACATTTTTTTCTCGTACGAGGCGTAGGAGAAAAACGTATTTGAGTAGATAACTTGAACCGCCCTGTATAATGATTAAAATTGTCTCGACTAGTAGGTGATAATAAATTGTAATAAATTGTAATTCATGATCAAAAAGGGTCACAAAGTGCCTGCACGAGCACTTAGAGAAAGAAGAGAACCAATTTTTCGCGAGTGAACAAACAATCGATTTGGATAAATAAATAAATAAATATATATATATATATATATGCGATATACGTGCGCATCGATCTAACAGATAAAGAAACGGCAGACAAATGAATTCTGTACTTAGTAAGACAATCATCCATGAACAAATCGATCTTTTGCTGCGAGAATGCACGTAGCGTGGAGCACATATCTTAGATAGTAGATTTGATCTATTTTCAGCGACTAGGAGAATAGAAAATAAGTCGGTGGGAAACTAAATGTTCAAGGTGGGGTCCAATTAACGATATCGCAATCACAGAGACGCTTGAAAGCAGTAATTCAGGACGCGACCGCGATCGAACGGGCGCACGCGAGTCGTCGCGCAAAATAATGATCGTCGGTAAACGAGCAGCATATTTAGGAGGACGGAAAATCGATTGTCCGTAAAATCGCCGAAAATGATACATGGTATTCCGAGAATTCAATTGTGCGATCGAGTATCGTGTGTTACATTTCCGTTATCACTCGCGATATCCTAACGATTAGCACACTGCATTAGAAATATCTGTTAAGTGAATGTATGTACTTTGCCTTTTTGTAGAATCGTGTACACAGGTCGTTCCAGGTCGGAAACCCCAGCGATTTCTTTCTTCGCCGAGATTTTCCCCGAGGTTCATATATCAAACACGAAGGTTTTCTTCTCCCCTTGAATGGAAAAAATGTGTCGCCTATAAGACACACGTGCGTGATATTTTTATTCGGAGAGATTCTATTTCAGACGCGTCGCGGAGGCTATTCCCATGATATTCGCGTCACAAACACACACACACACACACACACATACATACACAGACCTGGGGCGTCCTAGCGTTTTCTGGAAGATTCGATGGATTGATAGTTAGGGGATGATTTTCATCAAGCTCCGATTAAATACAAATCGATGAGTAATAATAAGAATTACCAATTCCCAGTTCTGTGCAACAATTTGTCGTTCAACAATAATCAACAAATTCGTAATTACGGTCTGCGAGATAGAACAGGTAATATTTACACGGATAAAAATATTTTGAAGAGGCAACCAATTTTTTATGCTGTAGTCACTTTTTGCGTAGCAAATAAATATATAGGATAGTTTCTTTAATAATCTAATATTTTAAAATCCTTTTATGAGGAAAAGTTTGCATGAACATATTTCTGTATCAAATGACTTCAAAAATCAACTTGTAAAATATTGGAGGTTATTTAAGAAAATAATATATATTTATTTCTTCGCTACAACGTACAATTTGCTGCACTGAGAAAAAAATGAGAAAATCAATTAAATCTCGCTTAGACAAACGATATTCTTTCAAGCGTTTAGTCTACTGAACACATTATATGGTTGCTGTAATGAGTTTTTAATTGATTCATAAATTGCGCGATTCGGTTAGCAACTATATCAGTGTAACGTATTGTTGCGCGCAATTTGTTCAGTGGATACAATATTTTCTTGAGCGAGGGCGATTTTGTCGACCGCTTTTCTCTCATTGTATCTCTCTGAAATATTTTTCTCCGTGTCATTGACAGCAATTTCAAATCGTCCGTTAACTTAATCGGTGTTTGGCGAGTCATTCTTAGAGCCAATTTCACAACCTCCGGCTAACTTAACCCACTGTTTTCCATTGACCAATTGCATTTGTCGTTGAGCAGAATTGAATCAGAAATAACCAATGACGGTTGATACTTAATTGGTTAACCAGAGGCTGTGAAACTGGCCCGACACACATGCGTGTGGTATACACAATATATACCCACTAAGCAAGAAACATTGAATCAATCTTTTAAAACATTGATTTTACAAATGGATTTTATAAACATTTTGACACAACATTTTATACATGTTCTTAAACTGTTACTTGATAATATTCCTAAATTAAATTAAAATCATATTGTGTAAATATTATTTTTAATGTTTGGGTAAAATATTGTTAACAATGATGTGGTGTTTAACAACATTAAGAACTACATATTTGAAAATGTTATAGAATTGTAATAACGTTATGTTAATGATTTCTTGCTTACTGGATCTGCTCGATCGTATCACGAAACAGAACGCGTCCTGTTGCAATTTGACACGGTGCGTGCGAATTAATCACACACATCGGATAATATATTTTCACTTAATCAACGCCGCGTCAGAACGCGTAAAACGCGCGATCATCTCTCGTGGAGGGATTCTTGTGCGCGCGATTATTTTTATAAATCTCTTTAGGAAAAATAAATCATTTATGTGTCTTGTATTATGCATGTACTCGTACCTCCTCTCATCCTGCGTCATTAACATGACTATCAGTTACACCGATCAACCATTTTCCCGTCCTAATTTGTAACCTTCTTGAATTTGGATTTTTTTTCTATTTATGCCGAGACCGAAAATAAAAAAATATTATTTAGCTCCAAATATAGGCTATATGTTAAATTTTTATTAAATAAGTTAATGATTTAAAGTACATGAAAATAACCCAAGAACATACCAAGCAGCAACATCAAGTAATATTTTTAATACCGTCTTATTGACCTTAGGACGTCATTAAGACGTTATTAAAATGTCATTTGACGTCACCTTGCTATTTGGGGTATTTTTACTTTAATTTTTTATTTTCATATTTGATACTGTTATACATAAAGAAAAATGCAATGGATACTTACAGGTATTTATTATAATATAGACTTGTATACAAAATTTCATAAAAATATATACCAGAAAGTTAAATGAAAAAACGAAAAATAAAATTTTACTCTGATCACGAATTAACGCCGGTCAGCGAGTATGTTTACAGTGTATAAAACCAGAGGAAGCACACATTTAATTGAAAATTGAACATATTTGTTAAAGAAAAATATGATAAAAATTTTGCATTTGATATCTTGAACATTTATTTTTGCATCTATCGCAATGATATCTGTCAAAGGTATCTCAATCAATACAATGCTTGTGTAGCGTACTAATAAAATTAACAATTTATCTCTGCAAAATTAAATATATTTATTTATTTTGTTGAGTTTCATGGTAAAATGGTTAATAGTTTAGGTAATTAAATGTTGAGTTAGTTAAGTCCTGGCAGACTTATGAGGACGTCCTAGAAATATGTTCCATACGCTTCCACACACGTCACGATAGGAAAAGAGAGAGTTTAAGAAGTCGATAAGGATCTTACAAATAAATACCGGGAATCGTTCGTTTCAAAAGCTCGCGTAAAAGATATAAAAACAAATTTTTCGCTGTAAGTTGGTACCAATGTACCTAATTGTCACGTAGAGTTTTGGCGCCATCTGTCGACCAGTTTGTTTACAGCTGTTTGTTTTGTTAGTCGACCTCAGGTGTACTCTGCGACTTTTAAAATGGATAAAAATATCAAACAAGGAACTTGCCTTATATTTTGTGTTGCCAACGAAATTTCTTGTGCTGAGTCGTTGAAAATGGAAAAAGCCTACGGTGAGTCAGCTTTATCGAAAACACGAGCATACGAGTGGTACAAAACATTTAAAGAAGGCCGAGAAGTGGTTGAAGACTTGTCTCGTCCCGGTCGACCTTCAACGTCTTCGACTGACGAAAACATCGACAAAGTGAAGAAAATGGTGATGGAAAACCGTCATTCAAGCTTAAGAGAGATTATCTGGGCGTTATGAGGCGTTTGAGAATATTCGTCAGAAAAGGCTAGATTTGTGGAAGAACGATTTTTGGATTTTGCATCCACACAACGTACCCTTGTACGCGAATTTTTGACCAAAAACTCGACGAATGTCATCGAGCAAGCACTGTATTCGCCGAATATACATTTACTCGTGTTGATATTCGGACATCAGGATACTTGGAAATTACTACTCTCTAAACATAGTTCTTGTCAGAATAAGTTCATAGTTTTTTAAAAAAATTGAAACACTTATTATAGTTGCTAGAATTATAAAATTTATTTGTATTATTGACATAGTTTTGAATATATTAATCAATAGATCGAATTATGCTTAATTCTGTTATCCAATTATATGGGAATTTGTTGCTATTTTGTTGCTCTAAGATAGCCAAAAGAAAGCGGGTAAATATAATGTTTCCCGCGAAATACCTGGTATGGGGTTTTTCATGACCGGATCTTTTTTCAGCCTGAGCAACAAAATAGCAACAAATTCCTATATAATTGTCTTTTTAATACAACCTAAATTCATCCTAAATGTTTTCGTTATGAAGGAGTCCAGCTTAACGTCCACCCGGCTCCACCCATTTTAAACGCTATTTCCTGCTAAACTGCAGCAACGAAATCGCAATTAGGGCAACTAATTGGCACATAAATAGCGCTAAACTTTTTTTTTAGTGTGAACTCGATTTGCGATGGTGGGAGGTCCAGCTTAACAGGAATATATTCGCTCCAAATCTAGCTCCGTGTGACCTTTTCCTGTTCCCCGAACTCAAGTTACCACTTTGCACTTTGAAAGATTTGATTTCGCTCCGTATCGTCGGATTGCAACATTGCTTGCAACATCGGAGCAGCCGGCATAATATTATTTGCAGTGCAAGATAACCGGCTCGTTTAACTCAACATGCGCATGAGTCATCATGAGATAGACTATCAATCAGCGAGACGCATATACCTTCTTCGGTTTCTCCATACCGCCGACAGTCGAAGCGTGTCGTTAAGACGAGAAACACGTTTGCCTCATTGCCGTCTACTTGATCGAGTTTTCAGCAGCGATCCGCAGCTCCGACACGATGGAAAAGGAAGGTACGCGAAGTGGTCGAATTATCGCAAGAGTTGATTAGCGCGATTCAATATGAGCTGGATTAGTATCGGCCGATAAACACCAATAGTAATTGACGTAACATCAATGTTAAATCTTCCTACACGGCAATATAACGCGTGTGTTACGTAACCGTTCCCTGTCAACGCAATATGTGAGTTTAAGAGTTTAAAAGGACCGATCTTGTTTGTTAGTCTTTGGGTGGAGGCGTCGAGGTCAAATGAAGGTCAACTTCATTTTTTTCACGGAATTATATAATTCTCTCAACACACATCGATTCCGCTGTTCATCCCGCATGTGAAAGTTACTGAGATACAATCATCGAAAAGTGAATATTTTTTTAATAAAATATTTTCCTTTTTATTTCGATATTTTTCAGTGCAGGACGTGGAAATATCGAGTATTCACTTGACTGTTGCTCGGTTGTTACGACCTCGTGTAAATATTATCGGATTAATTCATTCGTTTATCCGACCAGGTCCCGCAGGAACATGACGAAGCACAATACGTTCGTTACTCGTATTTTACTTGATTTTCCGACTACTTAAACCGCGACACCTGGCCCCGAACAGTAACAGTCGATCATAACATTCTAATGCCCTTTTGAAATGTCCTTCGGACAGCGTGTTCTTCTTCCTGCGGACCGGGCTACAGAAGCCCGAGTGCGGCGATGGTCGAGGGGCCGCGCGAGAAGCTCATGTACGTCGTCAGCATACATACGGATCCTGAGAAGGCCGACGTCCTTACCACCGTGGATGTGGATCCCGACAGTTCCACGTATTGCCAGGTGTGTGAAACGCCTTCAAACCACGGCGTATCTTAAAAGAAGCACATCTTGAAAGATAATAAAATTAAATGATGGAAATAATAAATATCTTTGAAAAATAATAAGTTAATATATAAATCTTGAAAAATACTCCGATCGATCGATCTATCGTTTAATTTGTGGAGCTGGCCCGTTGTAGCTTACTTGGAAAACAATCATTGAATTTTCATCAATTCCTTTTCCGCAGCCACTGGGATTTCTGTGTAAAGTAAATGGTTATCGCTTCGCAATAAGTAGGTCAAAGAAAATGAATGGAATGCCATTATGTAGAAAAGACTTTATTACTATGAAACATATTTCATATTAATATTAATTACATATTTAATATTAATTTAGACCTCATGCGTCCGTAGAATAAGACCCTGCAACTCAAAGGATTTTGAAGGAAGAGCGAGATTTCTCTCCGATTTATATCCGATGACGCGTGTTTGTTTCCAGATAATACACAAGCTGAGAATGCCGGTGGTTGGTGATGAATTACATCATTCCGGCTGGAATGTCTGCAGCAGCTGTCACGAATCGTCGACACGGAAACGCGACACTCTAGTGCTGCCCTGTCTGATGTCGGACCGGGTGTATTTCGTCGATACCAGCGATGAGAAAACACCGAAGATTAAGAAAGTGCGTAATGGACGTGGCTGCTTCGGATGAAGAACTTTCGTTTAAGATATGCATGCGGAAAGAAAGGTTTAATTGAGCTCACCCGCGAAGAGAAAAATCATTTGCTGGCATAACAAATTTTCTGCCGTCGTAGTAAAATCTGTCAGTTATAGGAATAGTAAGATGATTTATTAAGAATACTAATTGTCATTCGCTAATTATTTTGCTGAGTCTGCAATCATTCTTTTATTATAAGAACAGATTAAAAGTAAATGCAGGAAAACACTATTTCATTCTAACAGCAAATTAATACGTTCCAAGGACAAATTCACTCGGCAGAATATTTTCTATTCCGGCGGCAAAACTGGTTTCTGTTCTAATTACGAATAATTCGTTGATTTGATTAGGCCACTTTGGTTGATTAAATTTTATCGCTGTCGTAATGCGTATGCAACGACGCCCGCGTAACGTCACGGTAATATTATGTATTACTGCGCAATATTATAGTAATATTACTGATACGCGCGTGTATAGGAGTTTCTCACAAATTGCTAGCAGCAGCGACAAAATCCTTCATCAGTGTTTTCAAACTCGTCGATGGTATCTTACGAAAGCAATCTTTGTAAAAAGATCCTGGAGCCGCAGGAGATGCAGAAATGTGGAATATCTACGCCGCACACCTCGCATTGCTTGCCAACCGGCGTGATAATGATCTCCACCATGGGAAATCTCAAAGGCGACGGGCTGGGTGAATTTTTCTGCATCGACGTTGATACTTTGGAGGCGAAGGGTACGTGGACGAAGGGCTCTACTCGGTCAAATTTTGGATACGATTATTGGTACCAACCATATCACGATGCACTTATCGCTACTGAATGGGGCGCACCTCGGCTTTTTAAAAAGGGATTCAATCCAGATGACGTCAAAGATACCAGTGAGTATACGTTCTTAAACGTATTCCGAAAGATAAACAATTTCGTAAGAAACAAATTTCAAATTTCACACACGTTAAATTTCCCAGACTCAAATTTTCGCGTTAATTTAACACAAAAGTAACATAAATATCATGTCAGAAAATTAACACAAAATTAATATACTAATCTCTCAAGGTACATCGTTTCAAGATAATAATATATGCATGACCGTGTATATAGTGAACTATGGCAGATCCTTGAACGTGTACTCGTGGAGCGAGCAGAAGTTGAAGCAGACCATCAATTTGGGAGACGACGGGATCGCGCCTCTCGAAATTCGATTTCTACACGATCCTTACGCATCCGAAGGATTCGTGGGCTGCGCGGTAACGTCAAACCTTTACCGATTTTACAAGACGAAGGATAACTCGTGGAACACGGAGAAGGTGATTCAAGTGCCTCCGAAGGAGGTCGAAGGATGGCTTTTACCCTCGATGCCAGGTATCCCCCCCCCCCTCGCCGAGAGATCTTGAAAAATTCCACGAAATCCTAGAGTGATATTCCAGACGGTAGAATTTCTCAAGCCTGTTAAAATGTTCGATAAAAAGAAGTGTTCTCGAAATATTTTCTCCTCGCTCGTTCATAAAATATATGACAAATGTCCTCCTCTTCCAGGAATGATCACGGATATCCTGATAAGCCTCGACGATAAGTATCTGTACATGTCCAACTGGTTACACGGCGACGTCAGACAGTACGATATCTCGAACACGAAGAAGCCGAGACTGACAGGTCAGGTCTTCCTCGGCGGATCGATACTGAAGGGCTCGGAAGTGCGCGTGACAAAGGACGAGGAGATGTGCGGCCAGCCCGATCCTGTATACGTGAAAGGACGTAGGTTGTACGGGGCGCCGCAAATGTTGCAGCTGAGCCTGGACGGACGTCGGCTCTACGTGACCTCTTCGATCTTCAAGCCGTGGGACAAACAATTCTATCCTGATCTTCTAAAGTAAGCGCATGCACACCTGTCCAGACACACACACACACACACACACACAGCTTTTTGATCTTCCATTTTCCCTTTATTGATTTTTCTCTCTGTGACACAAAATCTTTACAATCTGCTTCTACAATCGAATATTCCGTTCATTTAGATACGGATCGACGATGGTGAAACTCGATATCGACGTTAAGAAGGGCGGCATGAAGCTCGACGATCAATTCCTCGTTGATTTCGGCGCCGATAAGAACGATATCCTACTCGCACACGAAATGAGGTGATAGAGATATTTCGTAATTTGTTACGTCGGTAAAAGAAAAAAAAAAAACAAAAAACGGTGCCGTCTCGGTCCTCCTTGTACAAGGAGAGAGAGAAGAGAAATTAGTCAAAAGAGATTAGTTGGAATTTATATGTGTAGTTACACAAAGTTACCAACTACTCCCTTATTTTTGTCATTTTTTCAATTTCCTCTATCTTCTAAGCCTGACGTTCTATCCTACCCTATTCTATCCCGATTTCTCGCCAACTGGCTATATTCTATTTCACACCGAATAAATTCCAGTCAATCTCTTTTAACTCGTCCGTTTTCTCTCGTGAAAAGGGCCAGCTGTGCAGTGATTGTTAAATCGAATCGAATATTATTTCTCTTCGCGCAGATATCCCGGTGGAGATTGTACCTCCGACATATGGCTGCCGAAAAAACACTGACTTCGACGGAGGGACGGCGACGCCATCAAAGATATTTTGAGATCTGCGAGAATTATGATGTAACACTGTATTTCATATAGCAATAATGTTGTACGGGCTTTTTTCTCTTTCTCCGCAATAAAGTTTCACTTCTATTTGAGTGATCACCCACTGTGTCTCCTTTTCGTCAGGTATAATCAAGAAAATTTGAGTGAGATAATATAATAAAAAGTAGAATTAGCAAACAATATTGAGAGAGAGGGGAGAGAGAGAGAGAGAGAGAGAGAAAGAGAGAGAGAGAGAGAGACACTTCGTTTGTTTCGATAGTGATTTTTCTTATTAGCTTCAGCATTGCATCAAGTGATATAGTAGGGGTTTTACATTGCATGGAATTATATGATGTTAAGTGGTGCGTAATCAATTTTAATCTTTCGAATTTTAATACACAAATTAAAATCTATCCGCGCCGAAACAGTGGTTTGCTGTGTAAAGTTCGATGAGGAGAATTCTACGTTGATTAAAAAGAATTTAAAAGTCGAAACGGTCGGAACCCTTTTCCCTTTATTATTATTTTTTTTTATATAAGATCATGTTGGTCGATTTCGTTTTCACTTTGACGATAAAGTAGCGACTATGTAGGATGCGACTAAATGACGTGATTTCCTTCTTAAACTCACTTTAGATCATCTAATTTTGCTCCAAATTCTGTCACGAATTGTCTAAGCCAGACTTTTCATTTCTTCTTTAAAAAGGATAATTCAACCATATGTATGCAACGGCAATAAAAAAAAAAAAACAGAGGAAATAATCGTGAGATATTATCGCCCGCTAATTAATCAATTTCTTTTTTCCCTGTCCAAATCATTGAATAATGGCAAAACAAAATTCAAAACGGATCGATATGTGGCAATAATGCGTAAATTTCAGAAATTACATCAATCGGCGATAAATCGCTTTCGTTTGCGTGATATCATCGATTACTTCTTTTTGAACACGTTCGCGCATCACGAGTTTGTGTGTGTGTGTGTGTGTGTGTGTGTGTGTGTGTGTGTGTGTGTGTTCAAAAGTGTATATATGTATTCATGTATACTTTTGACATATTCAGTTACATACAACTCAATAATAATAATAATAATGATAATAATAATAATAATAGTAATGAGATAAATCTATTCGTAGTCCCGGATAAGTTGCGGGTTCATAATTTTGCTCCTTTCCGTTTTGTTAAAGTAAACGCTGCAATGGTGTACCTGTGACGGTGTTGCTTTCCGATCGAATTAATCGTCAAGTCTGTCTGTGATATACGGTTATCCGCGTATATGTGCTTAAAATTATAACATTACGTCGTCCAACGAACGTCCCGAGGATGCCGATTAGCCGGGTGGAGCCGGCAACAGAGATCTCTCTCGTTCGAGGACGCATGTGTTTTTCCCTCTCCCGACACGATGACACGCCATTACACGACTGCATTATCATGACCACCGCATTGCCATCGTCATCATTCATCGTCAATTACTTTCCATCAATATCGTCAGTCAAATTTCACATGACTATATAGCTTAACAGACGCTTAACTGATTCCACGCTTTTCCCCCCCGAAAAAGAACCCGTGGCTCCCAACTAAATTAAAGTCATTTATCCGCATAGTATCCCGCCATTCCCGTGTCCTTCGCAGATGATACTCGTAAATTCGACCTTCCTTTCGTCTCCTCTCCTTCGCAAACAAGACCGTTTATTACACAAGATGTTAGCAGAAGCGTTGAGAGAATATCCCGGCCGAGGGAAAAGAAGGATTGAATTCACGAGGATGTAACCGCAAAAACGAGCCATCCGCGTCCAGCGTCCGCGTGTGTGTGTCCCCGTGAGAAACGAACGAGAAGGAGAGCTTCGTCGTCCGTTCGCGAATAAACCGAGCCACGATCTCTCGTCGGAACAACGACGGAATCAGCAGCGAGCCGGCACGGTGTGGTCGCGCACCGGCGGTCGAGCCGCGTATCACGCGCGCTCGTGCAGGCTGCTTTGAAAACCGACTCTTTTTCTAGTGACTTGGTTCGGATGACGAGCACCGCCTGCACAGTATCGAAGTGCGGGGGTGAGTATCGCAGCCACTACGGCAAGTACGCAGGGCGACGCGGTACGCGCTTGAGTACCGTTATGAGACGAGTGTCGAGCCATCGGCGCGCGCGCGCCAGCCGCCGTTCCTTCAGACCCACGGTGTCCAGCCTTCGTACAGCAACGCCAGGTTCTCGGTGCTTTGAGCCTCGCGTATCACGTATTCCACCTGCTCGGCGGTGGTGTACTTGCGCGACGGCTGCGGGTCGCGACCCTCCAGCTTCATGCGCACGCGACGCCACACGTTCAGCGCGTAGGCGTTCCGCTCCTGCACAGCTGGACGGGGAAAATTCCGAGTTAGAAACGAGACGAAACGAATCAGTCGGTCTGACATAGCGAACTCGGCTATGGAGTTGCGGTCTTCTTCACCGCCGGTGTTTTTATCAACCCACTTCGAAAATAGTTGGTGGAAATGCGAGTTTTGTGACAAAGAAAATGGCGAGTCACCCTCGACAAAAAAAAAAGTCTTCTTCAAATAACGTATACGTTAAATTGTTATTAATTATACCATTCCTCTGGCAGGGGTTATGTTGACTTTATAACGAAATTTTGGAAAACAAATGTCTTAGGCACATATTCAAATGAAACTTTTCTCAAAAAAAAAAAAAAAAGAAATTCCTTACGTTTCTCAAACATATTTGAAGTGAAAGTAAAATATCGACTTGGACGTTACAATAGACGTTGATATTCGAGGTATAGGATAAAAGGTTGCGATAATTACCTCGGGGAAATTCGCGATAAACCCGGCACGATTTGTTTTCCCGTAATTATCAGAATTCCCTACTGGACACGCGGAAAACTCGTGAAACTCACCGAGGTCGCGAAGTGGAGTGTCGCCCACCTCCTTCAAACAAGCTGCTTCATCCACTCACCTTTTCCCGTAGTCGGGTCTCTCGCCAACGGCACGCCTTTCCTCGGGCTCATGCACACGCTGTCCTGTCTCACTAGCTTGCTCTTCTTCCGGCTGTCTTTCTCCGCATTCTTCGCCGTGTTCAGTCTCTGCTCGCTCGCGAACTCCAGCAGTTCATTGTACAATCCGGGCGCCTTGATCGCCAATCCCTGTAGCTCCTCCTTGATCGTGACGCTTCGCGCCGTGTCGAACTTCTCCGACTCCAATTCCTTCACCACCGTCGACACGTTCTCCGTGAACGCCCGGTACGCCGACAGAAAGTCCTGCAGGCCCACGATATTCTCTTGCTTCGCCATCGTCCGTAACAACACCCTGACGTCCGACATCAGTCTGTGATGCTCAGTGAGAACGCTCTGCAAATTCGCCACTCGCTCCCTCAAGCAAACCTGCACCGTGTACAGAGTATCCTGTTTGTCTTGCAGTTTCTTCTGTGTCTCGAGGATAGCCTCGGACACGATCTTCTCCGCCTGCTTCAGCCAATTCGCGTCGACGTTGTTCTCCAGCTGCAACAGCTGGACGAGGCTCTCCTCTATCATGGTGACGGTGATGTTCAGGTTTACCGTCAGCACGCAACTTTCCTCCCAGTGCTTCGTCAGCTTCACGAAGTTCGCGTCGTGCGTCACGCTCTCCGAGGTGCGCGTCCGCAAGGCCTCGTAGTGCAATATGGAGTTGCAGGTGTTCACCACCATCGCCGCGAGATTGTGCTGTCTGGTCAGCTTCTCGCACGAGGACAGCACCGCGTTGTCGAACGCCGACATCACCTCGCCCAGCGCCGGATTCGCACCGGCGGCCCACTTCAGCCGTTGAATCGCGCTCGAGACGAGATTCTGCTGCTGCTCGCGGGCCTCGCACACGCGCGACTGCAGCGCCGACAACGCCGCCGCCGTCTTCCGCAGCTCCAGCATGAAGGCTGAACGGTCTGGGGAAAGGAATAAGCGTTCAGGTGTCTCTCTTCATTAACGCTCCTCTCGCCGACGAGTCGGCGAGTCGGCGACGAGCGAACGCGTTTCCCGGGGGAAAGAATACGGTCGTGGAGTAATACTTGCGATCACGTCTGTTAAATATTTCTTTTCATAATCAATATGTAGCCGTGAAATTCATTTGGATTTTGGTCGCTGAAAGATCGCTGTTTCTCTTATAGTTGAAATTATTTTCAAGATTACTGCGACCAATCTTTTCAATTTTAATCTCTTGCTCGTTTAAAACTGTAATATTTGTACATTGGATAAGCATATTCATACATAAATAAATAAGAGAACATCAGCACGCGGATTCGGTGTTCCTGATCAAGTGGCAAAAATTACACGTTATAACGGATAACCGTTGAATTTTCATATCTAAGAGATCGCCAGAGAAAGGCAACACGAGGGTCGTTTGATAAAGAATCCTTAGAAAATATGCCGACATTAATATCAAATCGACATGACAGTCGACCCGGCATAGCCAATAATAACGTAATCATGATGTATATTTACAAACGCATGCATATTTGGCAAAATAGTACAAGAAGAAAATAACAGAAATCAATTCAGTATCGCCCGAGTATCGCTAACTTTCCCCCAGAGAAGTGGAAGAGTGAAATATTAACAAACGAAACGAATCTCTCCCGAAGAGAAAAATTCATAATCAACCTCTAGGAAATTATCGAAGGTAAATATCGTACGAAAACGTATTTTTCATGCCAGTCCTCGATTTAGAGACACGTTGCACTTATTTTGCGTGTAAAACAAACTTAATTGTGAGTAAGAAGCGTGATCACTGGTTTGAAGGGAGAGATAAGTAGTAGATAGTAGTAGACAGTAGATAATAGTAGATACGACCGAGGGACGTTGATGCGGAATATATCGCGTGTACTCACTCAGAGGATTCAACGGATTCATGTTGGACCTCAGCATCAGGACGTCCTCGTGCAGCCAATGATGAGCCGTGAGTTGCAGCTGGAGCCTCTGTACACTGGCTCTAGCCACCTCGACGCTTTGTTGAGCCAATCGGGCGCCCTGTTTGCGCTTGAAGGCGCTTTCCAACGTGCTGCTTAGAGCGCCCGCCTGAGCCAAGACCGAGCCGGAGAACAAGCCTCTCTTCAGGCACAGGTCGACGATTTTCCGGCAGAGTTCCTCTATCGAGACCTTGCTCTCCGCCCCGATATCCCGCTGCTCGATCTCAGTGGTGACGTTGAGACCCATTCGCTGCAGCAGGAAGCACAACGCGATCGCCAGCGTCTGCGACGTCACTCCGAGCAACTGCCTCGACACGTAATCGGCGGTAAAGACGCGGACCGGCTTGTTGAGCTGCTCGTCGTCGTACACATTCGTCATGCCGCCCTTAAACGCGGTAGCGATGTCCCTGCACATCATGAAGAACTCCTGTATAGTGTGTAATCTTTTGATCAAGAATATATCCTCGAGGACCTGTCGGGCCGCCTTGTTAAAGATAGGCGCCGACATCTCCTTGGCCTCTCGTATCTGGTCGATCTTCTTCCAATTCACCGGGATGTCCAGGGAGCTCAGCGTGGCTACCAACGCGTTACCCTCCATCTGCAGCTTCTCGAACAAGCCGTTGAAGCCCATCAACAGCATCTGGCCCGGCGTCAGGGTCTCCTCCTGGTTGAGGTCCTGCAGGCCCTCCGCTGGCCGCGACAGTAACGCCTCGAAGCGCATCCTCATGTTGGTCACCAAGCCCTGCACCAGCGCATGCGGGCTCTCCATCTCCATGACGGTGAATCTCAGGTGTATCTCCAGCTGGGCGAGGATGTCGCCGGGCGGTATCCCGGTCAGCACGATCTCGCTGAGCTCGCTGATCATCCGCATGACGCTCGGCTCCTCCGTGATGATGGTCTTCATCGCCTCCGGCAGTATTATAGTCTGGAAGTTGTAGTTGAGCTCCTGCAGACCCTTGTAGATGCAGTCGGCGCTCTTCAGGCACTTCAGTATCAGCGAGATCTTCGGGTCGTTGTTGCTCTTGTGGCTCTCCGGTATCAGGGTGACCAGCTCGGCGATCAGAGACGACATCAGCCGCATCTCGTCGAGGAACCAGTCGCCCTCACGGCTGGTGAGATCCACCAGGCAGTCGCCGGCGCACTTGGCCGCGCCTTCCATCATCAGGTACCTCTTGTTCAAGGCGCACAGCGCGGTGATGTTGACACATTCGAGCGCCCTCTCCGCGCCCTTCTCCCGCCGCAGGAATCCCGAGATCTGCCCCTTCGATTCCGTATACGCCTTCTCGATCCTGCTGACGGCCTCCGGCAGGCCCTCGGACACCATCCTGTCGTACGCCTTCTTCAGCTTCTCGTTCGAGTCGTTCATTATACCCTGCATCTGGTAGGAGAACGTGATTATCTGTTGGACCTGCGGGCTGTTCGGATTGATCGGCTCGAGATTCGCCTCGAATTGCGCGATGACCTCGTGACAGGCCTCGACGGTGCCCGAGATCAACAGCTTGTTTGCCCAGGTGTGATAGAGCACCGTGCGGTGTTGCGACAGAGTGCTCATGGGATACAGGCTGCAGATTGCGGAGTACTGGCTCAGCAGTTCCAAACAGCTGCGTATGAAGTGCGACTGCTGGCCGGCCAGCTGCGTCAATTCGTTCTCCGATTGCTCGCACTGCAGAATCATCTGGCTCTGGCCGGCGTTCTGTAAGAATTCCTTCACGAGATCGAACACCACGTGTTCCTCCTGGCCGGCCGGGCTCCCCAATTCCGCCAGCCACTGGCCCAGTTGCGCTCCCCGCACCGTCGTCAGGGCGATCTGCGAAACATCCGAAGGATCATTCGAGCGAATGAGAGGGATGATAGAGGAGGGAGAAGGAGAGAGAGAGAGAGAGAGAGAGAGAGCTCACGTTGTGCATGTTGATCTGCTTCTCGCACTCCTCTATCTTCTCCTTCAAGCCGTTCTTCGCTTTCTCGTGAGCGTCTCGCGCCCGCTTGAACGAGTTGTATCGCTTCACCACCGAATATAAACCGTGATTCCGGCCCATCGCCTGAGCTTCCTTCACCAGCGCGAGCTGCTGATGTCGGTCCTGCAGCAAGTCCTGGCACTGACGAGACGCCTCGGTCGCCTCGATCCAACAGTTCAGGTGGTGACACAGCAGCGGGAACGTCTTCGACAATTCGTCCCTGCGAGCAGAAAATCAACGTAAATCGAGAAAACAACTCTGGATCAACCGGATCTGAAGGGTGGCGGAAACAAAATGGAAGGGGCCTTTGCATCGACTGAACGTCTGGAGTTGATAAAACGCAGTTGCAAGATTGCAAGGAAACGATTCCCCGATCTAACACGAGCTTCCTCACCTGTTAGCCAGCCACTCGGCGCGCATCTCCGCCGTCCTCACGGCGAACATCGCGCGGGTCAGCTCCTGCTCCAGCTGTTTCCTGCCGATGCCGGTGCACCTGGCCCTGGCCTGGCACGCCCCGTAGCTCGCGATGCTGGTGTCGGCGCCAGCGCGCCAGTCCACCAGGGGGTCGTAGACGAAGGCCTCCAATAGGGTGAGCAGTGTTTCCCGACCTCGGCGCATCACTCGCAGCGTGTGCTCACAGGCGAACCTAAATATACCCTGGACACAAATAGCGATTACCTTACAGCGATAGCGCGTATTATATCGATGGGGAAAGAGAGAGAGAGAATATGACATCAGGCCCCATCGACTTTTTCCGATTGCGAATGGGCTGCTGATAGCGACTGATAGCGCGGTATATCGCGGCAGTTTCTCGTGGGGGAAGCAGCAGGTGAGCAGATAAAAGCACTCTCGAACGAACCGGGCAACGTGTCGTATCTGTCAAATCGTATCGATCTTAGAATCTCGACTTTCTCTCGACTTCCTCCCTTTGTCCGGCTCCTTCTTCCTCCCGTCTAGGCGCAGTTATGGCTATCAGCTTCGTCATGAAAACAAACGCGCGTCACCACTACGACGATCGGACGCTTATCGAGGAAGCGGCGGTATGAGCGCGGGATTACCACAGCCTACCATAATGCGTATTCTTTCCTCGCCGCGAGGAGGAATCCGGCGCGAAGTCGGTAGATTTACGTAATCGTAATGCGTGAACAGGTGTGTGCTTTGACGTTTCGTAGGAAACCCGTTTCTGCGCGGAAGGTGAGTACTCAGGCCGGAGGCCTGATTCACTCCAGCGGTCCCAGTCGCACTCGGCCGCTATGACCTGTCTGGTCTTTATTTCCGCGTGTCGGGTGTCTCCTTTGGTACGTGTAGAAAAGAAAAAGGAAGGATTTATGCGCGACGACGCACGAACCGAGTGTGTTCTCATTGAAGGAGACGGAATTTCTGCGGGCCGATTTCTCGAATTCCAGAAGTTCCGTTTTCTTCGACGAAAACGCGCGTCCGCGTTACGGTTCAGTTACGGTCTCCTTCCTCCGTGAAAAATCGTCCGTATTCGCGGTTATGCATTGGGAATTTTCGATTACGGGATGTCCGATGACGTGATCGGTCCGATGTTAACTGATATTAGCGAAAATGATGAGCATCGTCTTGAAAATCAATCGGCACTCCAACAAGACGGAGCACGTTACGCACTACCTGTTCGACAATATTTCGATCGAAGGTTTCCGGGTCAATGGTTTGGAAGGAGAGGCCCGATCGATTGATCTCCGATTGATTTCTTTTTGCCGGGTTTCGTTTAACGAGTAAAATTTATGCAATTCGATATCGGCTTCTGTATGCACGATTTACGACAACGCATCGTCAACGAGTACCACCGTCAAATCATTCAACAAATACTCCAGAATGCGCGCGACGACGTTTCGAGCAAAATCTTGATTATTCTATGGAAACTGGTGATGGTGGTCATTTCCAACGTTTACTATGTTGACACGTAAGTTGTTAGTTTAGGAAACTACCGTTTCATCGGAGCGTATTTACTCGAGAAGTAATAATTGGGACTCAAAAAGTGAAATACTATTTTAAAGCGATTTATCGCCCTTTCAAATGGTACGTCGCTACCCCTGGCCGTCGAAAATTTCTATGGTGAAATGACGGGGTTGAAGTTTGGTGAACGAAAATAGCCAATCATGTCCTCCTTCCGACTAAAGTCAACATGTCCGAGTTTTTTTCGAATAAATTAAGTTAAATGCCATAAATATGTTTGTTTCGTTTTCGGCGGGTCACGTGCGTGTGTGTGTATAAATATATATATGTGTGATGATGACGACGATGATACACGTTTTAAACACGAATTAACGAAATTAAAGGACCACTCAAAATAAACACTATAAAAGACCGGATTGAAAATCACAGATTTTTACAGAAAATGCAGAACGATGTTGAAAAAAGCGTTGTAAAGCCTCGGCTTTCGAATCGGCTTCAAAGCACGCTACTCTGCAAAGATTTCACTACAGATGACGCTAAAGTGCGAAATTGAAGACGAAATTGAAGCAAACTTAAAAAATTAAATAAATAAATAAATAAATAAACCCTCATGGTGTGCACAGGGGGGGGACCAAATTTTCGCTTCGAATTCTTTTAATTACATCGTAAAATCTCACATTTTCTTTTCACCTCGTCCTTTTAATCACAACGCTACGACGTTTTCTCAATGAGTCACGACGACTTGAATAGTGCATTTTCAGGGGGTTTTTTTTTCTTCTTTCTAAAAACCTGTATTCCGCCGCCAATATTAGCATTACTCAAGGCGTACCACGAAGAAGTTACGAGATCGGACTTGCACCTCGTGCGTGTGTGCGTGTACGCGTGTATAAGAGCTGGATACGGGGCTGATTGGGGGAAATCTTTCAATCGACGGTGAAGTAGATCCAAAGCTCGCTCGACGCTTGAGAATCGTTTCCCTTCTTTTCTTTCCAGAAACATGTATCTAGAATCGAGCGACATTGGTGAGGAGACGAGCAGGAACACGTCGATGGCACCACCTGGCAACATGCCAGGCCCCACCGACGGCAAGGACGTGTTCTGGATCCTCGTAGACTGCTTTCTGTTCGTCGCGATCGTCCTGGGGAACGTGCTGACGATAGTGGCGATCGCGATGACCCGCCGGCTCCGGAACGTCGTCTCGAATTACTTCGTGCTCAACTTGGCGGTATCGGACCTGCTGGTGGGCGTATCGCTGCCGTATCACTTAGCCTTCTACATGGACGACCAGCTCAGTCACGAGAAGTTGATATGCGTCCTGCGATTCGTGCTGATCAGCGTCGCCTGCGGCGGCAGCATCATGAACATCATGGTGATCGCCATCGACCGATACGTCGCGATCGTCCACCCGCTCAGCTACAACGCATACGCGACGACGAAGCGCATGCTGCTGATCGTAGCCGGCACGTGGATCTGCACCGTCGGCATGTCGTCGATCCCGATCTACTGGAATCGCTTCGACGAATCCTCCACGTGTGAATTCGAGACCGTCCTGCCGAGGTACTCCCCTCACACTATGATTCACCGTTATATCCCGGCCGATCGATGCCGCACCCTCGACTATTTATCACGTCCGATATCGGTCTGCGCGATATTTGTGACGATAATGTGACGTCTCATTGCGATTACATTCCCAATGCTGCTCCGATTGATTGAGATCCAAGTCCCCGGCCTGTACTCTATTTCTCAGCGTTCAAGGGGGTGGTTCTCATCTGAAAAGTCGTCTTGCAGAGGGATATTTTTAGAAAGAGTTCTTTTTTTATTTTATCCAGTAAAATAGTCCCGTGATTATTGGAGATATTTTGGTTCTAACGTAGCGTTTAAGCTTTCACTTTGAGACTCTGTACAAATTTCTAGCAGTTTGGGCATTCGTCCCGATTTATCAAATATCGCCGGAACGCGTTTCTTAAGGTTCTCAACTCTATCTTTCCCGTGACAGACGAATTCCGAGCACTCCTCCAGAGCTTCCAAAAATCTATGGAAAAGCAATCTCTACGGAAATCTCCCTTTTGAGGAAACTTTTAGAATGTCTGTTTAGAGTGTAATCGTTATATTGTGCCAGAACAACGGTTGTTACAGGCCGGGTGTGTATTTCAGTCTCTCCTTTTTTCCTCTACCTTTGCCGCTGCGAACGTTTATGTTACTTCTCGACGATCGTTTGACACTTCGACGACTTTCGGACTGTGGCAGGGACTACATAGTGGCGATACAGATGCCATTGTTTCTCCTAACCTGGGTGACGATGTTTCTGTTGTACACGAAAATCTGGAAGGAGGCGAAGATGTGCGCACGCCGAATGAACCTCAGTATCGTCTCGAGCTTCACGGAGAAAAACGATCGCAAAAGCGTACAGGTAGGACAGAAAGTCTTATTCTCACAGCAAAAACCTGAGATTTCTCGATATCTCCCGGAGCTTCCTTCTTATTACTTTACATTCCATCCGACCGGTCGAGATCAATAATATCAAATATCGAGAAGTTCTCCTTCGAGATCTTTTCTCAATTAAGACTTCTCAGTCTCTCGCTGCGATCATCTTGTTTGATGACATCACACGGAAAAAGAATAGTCGACTCAAGACTCGTATTGTCACGAGCAAAAATGTATGTATAATCTTATATGAAGATAAAATATTATTATGCGTACAAGTAAGTTCCTTTACCAATAAGGTGTCTCATTTGGCGTCCCGTAACTCTGGTCCAAATTAAAAAATTTCCCCCATCCTAGGATAATTCGAAAGTGCTAGCTTGAAGGTTTTAGAAGCATTATAATAGTATCTTCTTCGGGCTCTGGGAGATTCTCCCGCATGCAGCTTATTCTCCAGACCTACGGATTATCATTCGTTCCGGTCGCTTCAGCATCACTTAGTGGATTCCCACTTTCAATCCGCCGAGGAGGTGAAAAAAAAAAAAGCACCGACTTCATTGAGTCAAAACCATCCTTTTATCGAAGTGGGATTCACCAGCTGCCCGAAAGACGGCAAAAGTGTGTGGATAATGACGAACGCTATTTCGAAGATTAACATGTTACTCGTTTTTCTGAATAAACGTGAAAATCATCCCAAGAAGGCAAAGGGGATTATTTATACACCTTACTTCAAAAGGGCCTCCAAGAACTCTTCGGCCCCCGGTCGAAATTTCAAGCGTGATCGTACATCGGTTGGCTTCGGACATGTAATATATTAATAATTATATATCCAAACTGACTATGTATAGTACAAATTGGGACCCTAATTGTCAACAATAATAATTCAACTTTCAAGTTTAGTACTTGAGGAAACATCGGACATATCGTACTTAATAACGTAATATTCTCGATCGAAACATTATTGTCGAAATGTCGAAATTCCTTGTTCCTTCTTCCTTTCATCGCGTCCGAGTCCTTAAAGTAACAAAAGTAGAGGAGAAATCTCCGGAGATCGTGTCGATTGGCGGTAGGAAGAATTTTCGTGTTTCGAAAGATTTCAATTCGATTTCCGAATCACGTTCGACCGACAAGGTAATATCTCTCTGTTACAACAGGTGGTGTTAATGATACTGGGCTGTTTTTCGATCTGCTGGCTGCCTTACTTCATCGTGGCGTGCATGCGGAGCTTCGACTGGATGCGAGACTCCACTGATATTTGGTACAAAGTCACGTTCGCGTTGGCTCTCGCTAACAGCGGGATGAATCCTCTGATATACGCGTGGAAGAACACCAGCTTCCGCCGGGCGTTCCAGAGGATCTTGCGGCTGAAGTCGCCCAACAACAAACTCAACTCAAGCCTGAAGGTGTTCCTCGAGCAGCAGCGCAACGAGATCAGGAGTAAACAGAAAGACGCGGACAGCGAGCACCGTGTGAGCGGGAACAGCGGCGGATATCCGGCCAACGAGGAACAGCAACCTGCGGAGGAGGCTAGAGTGGAGGAAAACACGACTCTGTAAATGAGATCGCGCGTCGACCGAGAACTTATCCGCGAGGATGATCGATTATTTCCACTCGGTGTTATTTCTCGGAGCGACGCCTCGCCCTCGAAATGAGCGAAATGCGGCGATGTTAGCGCCTTCGAGGGAAACGAAGTGAAGATACTCCCATTCGAAGTTACACGAGTGAATGTTTCACGATTCGAGCAGATTCCGACCTAGTGAATATCCCGTTCTACGACGATGGGGGAGCACACCCGGTTTCCGGACACTTCTCTGTGATGCAAACTCGACGGACGAGAGGGAGAGAATGGGCATTTTCGACAAATAGACTCTCTCATTCGAAAAGGGCCGAAACTATTTGGAAACTGAGTGTGTGTCGGATTCGCTCTTCAATTTCGAGTGAAAATGTTCATTCGACGAGTCGGACGATTCACCCGGTGTAAGTGAAGAATCACTCGAGTGGTCGCTCTGTATTTCGGATGAAATTTCACCCCAAAATGCTTACGACGATGAAAGCAGTAGAAACGACTGCGTCAAGTTTTCGATATATTTCGTGGTTCATTTAGGAAACCTGCCCAACAGCTCATTCGGTATTTCTTTTTTTATGTATGCAATTGTGTATACAGACAAATCCTCGATTTGTTTATGTGGACAGGGAAAACAATATCGTCGTCACACATATGTGATGCTAATGGTGTTAGCGCACTGACTGCCAAAGGTGACATTAGAGAATTTCATGTGTTGCACGTGTGTTCTTGACGCCATACTAATTGAAACCAGCGTGTTATTTCAACACTTTGACGGCCGTCGACTTCGTTATGTCAGCGATCATCATCTTGTGAAGAATATTTCTCGATAACAAATCTATAATCGTAATATTTTACGGCTATATAAAGGTAGATTTACTGATTTATGTAAAAAGAGAGTTTTTTTGTCATTATCGTTAAAATTATTGTAGCAACTAAAATTTACGTAAATGGAGAAATTTACTGATTTCTGTAAAAAGAGAGTGTTCCCCTCTTTTTAGGCGATTTAAGCAAGCTCTTGGAATCTGCCGGCGGCGAGCGAGAATTTTCCCGCTGTAAGTGTGCCGTCAAAGTGTCGATACACTGATCAATTATATTTATTAATCAGCAAAAGGTACAAAAAAAGACCTGTGAAAGTCAATACGTAGCTGACGTATAAAAAAGCCAAGTTTTTCTTTTGGTAATTTATACACCTAAAAATTCTGCAAATAAAAACTGTTCTTGCAAATTCTGTGTTTCCGACATATTGAAGAGAATGATTTCTATTGATGATTAATTTCTTCTCCTTCCTTTTCCCAGATTTTCATACGAAGCGGAATCATGTATATCAAAGTCACGATCTGAGTCACTACGATTATTTAAAATATCTAAGAAAATATTTTCCAACCCTTCTCTCCCGTGTTTCATTTTCATCGTGGAACAATAAAGCTCTTAACATTGTAAACATTTTATCCAACTTGGAGTTATCAGTATTTTAAACTGATCTTCAAGAATACCGTATCTCTTAAGATTCCTGATCTTTTGCTGCAGTCGTTTCATTTAATGACGTCAGGAGTAAAAAAAGAATGTCCAAAATTCTTGCGAAATATGTTGGAATAAAAGGATCGTCCATAAAATATGCTCAATCGATCAAATGTAATCGACTGATATTTTGAAAACATCCTAAAAATTTTTTCGCTGTAACAATCAATAAATAACCGTAAAATTAATAATGACACGTCTTTCCTTTTAGCCTGTCTTTTCTCATAGTTTCATAAATTTTACGGATGTGTACGGTTGATTGTTAAAGTAAGAGGGGACAGTTTTCGGAATATATTTTACAAAAATGTGTTCAGTCGATTGCAAGTATCATTTTATGGACACATTCTTTTACTTCAACGTATTCCGTGAGAATTTTCGGCTTCTGACATCATTAATCAAAATGATTATAGAAAGAGAAAGAGAGAGAGAGAGAGAGAGAGAGAGAGAGAGAGAGAAAGCAAGAGTCTTAAGCATCATGCGGTTTTCGAACAGCGCCAAACTTTCAATCGTGATCAAACTTCCTAGGATTAAATTCAATAATAATACAAACTATCCACCGTTCCCTCATCTTCATACCGACTGAGTCATGTTATTCGATAATCATCGAATGAGGCTTACCTCGACTCCGGTCACCCCCAAAGCTGCTTTAATGTTCGGTGTCATGCGAAACGGCACTTTCTCCGGGACGCGCAATGTCTTCCCTTTCTCGAAGCAGACATTGTAATCGATATGTACGACCTCGCCGGTGTTGAGATCGACGAGAACGTTATCCAAGTGTCTGTCCCCCAGCCCGATGATGTAGCCGATGATAGACATCACCGCGACGGAATACGAGTAGTTCTTGGTGGCTTGCCACCAGCTGCCGGCATTGATGCTGTTGCACCAGATTTCTCTGCGAAGCGAGAAGGGGACAAAATGTCTCAAATCATGCGCCGACAATTACGTTCCAATCAAATCCTGCGTTAACAACGCTAGCCCGCAAAAACCAACCGCTTTTTTGCGGATCATCGCGCCGAGACCGAAAACTCTCGAAATCGTCGACCTCTTTCACGCTATTTTCCTCAATATCGCGATGTGATAGCCAAATTTGGGAAACGGGCTCGGCAGTACGGAAAAATTCATCAAAATCACTCAATCCGCATCCGCAGATTAGTGTAATCGTTAATTACGTTTATGTGGTGACTTAGAACTTCACAGTAACAATCGTAATCTACACAGAGAGATTATAGAATCGTTTTTTTTTTGCTTCATATAAGCACTTAACAATTTTTTATCAATTTCCAAGCAGTACAGAAATAAACCTAGATAGTCGGACATTCACGGATTGTCACGGCGAGATGATCGATGCCGGTAGCTTTGCTTCCGACAAGATTCATCCGAAAAATGTATCAATCATTTGACCGACGACGATGTCAGTTTTTCGTTACATCGATGCGGCGTTCCCATAGTACTTCGTACTGTAAAATTTCTATGTTTACACGCGAACAACCGATTCGAGGGCATACGGTAAATTTCGCCGATGGTAAATTATTCGATTCGAAGATTCGTAAAAAAGGAGAAATAACGCGTATGAAGAAGAAGAATAAAAAAAAAGTCGAGCTGCTCACTTAGCCAGTAGGTCCTTCGGGGTCTCGTTCATCAGTTCGGTGAGTACCTGCTTCAGCACCTGAATGGGCCACTCCTTGCGATTCTCCAGGCCGATTCCGCGCTCCTTCAGCAACGGCGTGAGCTTGTTGTAGAATAACTCGGACGGCCGCATGATGGCGGAATTGCCGCCGGTCTTGTTGTTCATGGCGCATTCGCGCTGCTGCCAACGTTTGTACAGTATGAACAACGGCGTGACACCGTCGACCCACTGAATAAGGCCGGATCGGGGGCCCAGTGGTATCACGGAGTAATGTCGCGCCCTGTACGCCTTCGTCCCGCTGTTCTTCGACATCATCGTGTTGCATATGTTGAGGAACTGCATGATCCTCTCGTCCAGGTGCAAATCCTCCAGGCCCTTGAACAGGTAGGTGTAAACGTGGCCGTCCGAGCCGTGGAATATCAGCTTCTTCGGCTTCGTCTTCGTCGGCAGGATCTGTACGTTGTTGTTCACCGACATGATCGTAACGACCTTGTTGTCGACGGCGGCGACGCCCGGCATGGCGATGCAGGTGTCTTTCAGATTCGCCAGGATGGGACTGATATCGGTCATCAATAAGGAATAAGCGGCCCGTCGGTGCACACGCTGGGCCAGCTTCGCCTCCAGGTGCTTCAGCGGCACGCTGGCCAGCTGCGACTTCACCGGGTTCTTCGGGTTGTTCAGCCGGTTGATCACGTCCTCGATAGTGCCGGCGAATTTCTCCTGGAAGTTCCTCTCGTGCGGCGTCTCGGCCGGCACGGACGTCATGGAGAGCAGATTCTCCAGGATGAAGGTGATCGGTTTCAGGATGATCCTGTGCTTCTCCGCGATCAGCTTGTTCTTCTCCTCGGGCGCGAGCCAGACGTTGTCCTGGACCCGCTGGATCTCGATTTCCAGCTGCTCGAATCGCTTCGTGATCTCCGTGTGATGTTGGCAGAGGGTCGCCAGCCACAGCTCGTCCCACAGCAGTGTGATCCTCCTGAGTTCCCTGACGAGGACCTTCACCTGGACGACGGAGTCCTGGATGCGGCCGGAGAGGCAATCCACCAGCTGGGAGAAACACGAGTCCATGAAGCTCTCGTGCTCGTCGTTGTCCTCCTGCCCGTTGTACTGCTCCAGCTCGTTCTGCGAATTCTCCGCGTCGTCCTCGTAGATCACCTTGTCGTAGGCCTTCTTCTCCCGGCCGGACACGGCGCCGACCACGGCCGGGAAGGTGATGAGATGCGGCGAGTTCTCCGCGACCCGGCACAACAACTCCGACACCTGGGTCCTCACGTACGCCTCGGGGTGGCTCAGCCTCGAGAAGAGCTGCGGGATGATCTGCTTCCACGGGGTGGTCGGGGTGGTCGAGAGACCCGCCTCCAGCACGTCCTGCAGCTCCAGCGCGTGCTTCACCACCAGCCGCAGCAGTCTCAAGGTCGCCGTGATCGTGTCGCACTCGTTGCTCTCGTTCTTCGTCAGCTGCAGATACTTGAAGTACGCGTTCGCCGAGAGCTCGTAGTACGAGTAGATCCTCTTCTGCGCTTGCCGCCAGATGTCGACCAGCATGCCGAGGTGTTCGTTGCTGGCGCGACTCAGCACCGGCACGTTTCGCAGCTGGTTCTCTATCATGTCGGACGTATTGATGTCGTTCGTGTCGATGTCGCCCTCGTCCTCCGGGTGTATCGTCTTGTTCTGGCTCAGTATGGAGAAGACGGTGTTCACCTCGGCCTCGGCGATCTCCACCGGCAAGAGCGAGCGAATCTTCATCCTGTCGGTGTCGGTCAACTGGCCGGAGTTCGAGTTGTCGACGATCTTCCGGCCCCACTTGTAGCACCAGGCGGCGAAACTGGACCAGGCGAGCGGCAGATCCGGGCACTGGTTCACGCCCAGTTGCATCAGCTTGCCGATTATCATGTCGGAGGTGGGGATGAGGTCGACCGTGTCGCCGAACAGCTTGTTCATCAAGCCGTCGTTGTGCACCGCCTCGAAGCGGAGCAGCTCCTCCAACTGCGGATTCTCGCTCACGTTAATGTCCTGCTGGATCCACTTGCCGAGGGTGAGCAGCAGCTTCGTGCCGGTCTCGCGCAGCTCGTAGGCGGACTGCTCGCCGCCGACGATCGCCTGGGAGATCCCCAGCGAGGTGACGCAGCACATCTTCAGAGCCTCGCCCGTCTTCTCCATGTCGTAGAGCAGCTTCGAGAACTCCCGGAAGGCGCGCATGCTGTTCTTCGTCCACTTAACGCGGATCGGCTCGCTCAGCACGCAGTTGGTGATCTCGGCGAAGCCGCCGGTGAACTTCTTCGCTTGGAACAGACCCTTGAAGTACTTCACCATCTCCCGCTTCGCCAGGTGGAAGTTACCCTCCTTCCGTGCCGCCCGGATCACGTGGAGCCGCAGAGCGTCGACCTCCGCGCGGTTCTCGCACGACTGACCGAAGTACTCCGACCACCACAACACCTGCGTCAGGATGCACGAGTTTATGTCGTTTATCTTGTCGGCCTTGTACAGCTCGAAGACGTTCGAGTCGCCGGCCACCAGCAGATTCCTCAACCCGGTCGCCGAGTACTGAAGAAGGATCGCTTCGCTCAGGTGCTCCGACGGCACGTTCCGCAGCCCGTCCTGCATCATCTTCGCCGCGAGCTTCTGGCACCTGCCGATCTCCCGCTCGACCGACTCGCTCGCGTTCGCGCGGATCTGCAGCGCCGCCTTCGTCAGACTGTTGCCGCACTCGACGAGGGTGCGCGCGCAGCTCCAGTTGCTCTTGTTCTCCAGGTCCAGCAGGTTCCAGTCCGTCAACTCGTCCAGGGAGACCGGCTCGCCCTCTTCGAACTTCTTCAGGCAGCTCGCCTGCTGCAACGTCACGTTTTCCACCAGCTGCTTCTTCAACGAGAGACCGTCCTTCTCCTGCGCCAGCATGTCGGCCTCCTGCAACTTCCACGCCTCCAAGCCGGACCAGTCGCTCGTGGATTTGTAACAGTTCGCGAGTCGTTGCATGCAGAAACCCAACACCTGGTTGTCGCTCTCGCTCTTCGCCTCCTCGTCCGCCCGCTCCTCGACGATCTGCTTGTAACTGTCCGCCGCGGACTCGTAGTGCCCGGCCGCCTCCTCCATGGCTGCCTTCAGCCAGGGGAACTTGCGGTCTTTCTCCTTCGTGTAGACGTAGAGGCCCTGCAACGCCTCCGCTTCGGCCAACGTCACCATCGCCTGAGCCGTCCACAGCGTCGCCCGCTCGAACTCGACGCCTTGGGTGTTGTCGGCGTTGCTCAGGTCTTCCAGCAGACGTTGCCCGTTCCGCAATGCGCTCGTCGCCAAGCCGGAATGCAGCGAGACCACGCACAGGGCGAGTCGTATGCGATTCAGCCATTCCTTGCACGTCGACTTGTTCGTGTGGAAGAAGGTCCGCACCGGCTTCGACAGCGGCAGCAGCACCATCGCGCAGCCGTCCGCCGCGTTGTGGATCACCCTCTCGAGATGCTCGAGGAACTCCACGAACAGCCTGACGCGCGTCTGCTCGTGCAGGATGTACTCCAAACCGTGTCTCTCTTTCTTCACCACCGCGTCCGGGCTGCACGACACCTCGCGAGCGAGAATCTTCAGGGCGCCCTCGATCGACGTGAACGTCTCCTGAGGCTTCCCCAGGTAAGTACGCAGCTTGTTCGCCACGCAGTGCTGCGCCGCCTCGAAGCCGCTCCAAAAGAACAGGAACGAGCAGTTCGCCAGGGACATGTGGTACATCCTCGCCATAGTCTCGCTCTCCGATCTGTGAGATGGGGGATTCGACGAGAAACTTCGATTTAATGATGATGATCAAATAAGAAAATACCGCGAGAAAAATGCGAAGGGCAACTTGTGTTCACAGCCGGAGATGTGCTAGTTACGCGGCCGTATTTCTTTATTGTCCCATTTGAAACACAAGCAAGAATTTATTTCGAAACAATTTTTTTTTCTTCGCGTATTCTATGCCGAACAAAAGAAAGAAACCGATTCGTTTGATCGGCGAATTGAAACTAATTTTGGCTTTGTTAAAACTCATTTAATTTTAACTGAAAATATACAAGACGTTTGGGCCGAAGGTTAATCCGGTACGTGCCTCGTATTACACACGTTTGATATCCTCCCGCAAAATTAAAAAAAAAAGCAGTATATCGCCAGAACATCAAGTTCAATCTGATCAAGTTCTCGTTAGTCGTTTTAATGTAATCTAAGCATTCTCGAAGGGACGATTCTGCAGTACGGATTACTCACACAGCTGGCCAGCACAAAGTGAAGATTTCTGATAAACCGGACACATCGAGATAGTGCTCTTGCAACAAGGACATCATGTAGGTCTTGAAGTGTTGCGCCAATAGTTCCCCATTATTATTACCTCGCATGTGCAGTCGCTGAGCGAGTACTAACGACTCTGTCGAATATGTCTCGATTTCTCGTATTTTCTGTGGCATTCGAAGCAATGTTTCACGGTTAATAAATGAGAGCGATGTTACGGGCAAGGTTGGAAAGGTCACTTTTTAATAGTAACTCGTAATCCATCGAAAGAAATGACTCACTGCCGTGATTCAATTTGAAAAATGATTCGTTCACCGTTATTGTCGTTCAAAAAGCAACGTGTCGTAACAATTTTCGTTATTCTTCCTGTTAATCTTGAAGACCTTTTAGTAACGATACAAGTATTTGACGATTATATTTGTTACCGTTGTCTACACAAAAAATATAATTGTGCTGCCATTATGCCGTTATTAAAAAGAAAAAAAAAAGAAAAAAAATGTTACCAAATATCGTTATTGAAGTTAATTGGGATAAAATTAACGTGTTACTTCCCACTTTTGATTGGTAGAATATACACAAGAGTGAACATAATACACGATGTATGCAGAGTATACGAAAAATGCCGGGGTAATATCTCTTAAAACTCAGCGATAGTCGCTATGACTACCCTCGTTTAACAACAGAAGTGAGAGAATGCGTGCCGAGATCGTACACTTTTAAATAAAACGGCGCATCCACAAAAAGATATTTATAATCGATCCAGCGAACTTGTAAAATTGGAACACTTTGCTTCTTTTATTCGAGCAATCAATAAAGTCGCTAAACCGCTTCGACACGGAACCTTCCTTCCCAGCCTCTTATCTCATAATTTTGCCGATGTTAATTTGTCCGGGACAGCAAAACTTTAAGAAGCTCATGTCTGAGACATTCTTGAAATCTATTTCCCGAACCATTCAGAGGTTCCGGCATTTTTCCTACACCCTGTATCGCTTATGAGCAATCAAAATCCTTATTTTCATCAGTTAAGTATAAATAGCATTTTCTTAGTGTGTTATTTGCAAAGTATCCGCAACTTATTGTATCACTGATTAACATATCCAAGCTTGTCTTTTAAACGTTTCATTTCGGCACACTTTGACTGCTCATAAACATCTCTAATATTACATCCGTATACTATTATTATTCGCCATGATCAGGAATCATTCACTCGCCTTGGTGTCCGAGAACAAGCATTCCCTGTTCAGCTTCTGTATGACGATGTTGACGGGCATATGCATGAGCAACGAGCTGTACTTCTCGCGGACCGTTTTGTCGCAGGACGTTAAATGCAACATCGCCAGATCCACGATGCTCGAATAAGTCTCCTGTTTCCACCGCACGTTCTTCGCGGTCATCAGGATTTCGAGGAGGTCGCACACTGCGCCGGAGATTTCATTGTTGGTCGTGGCGCCGCAATTGATCAGACTTGCGATGATGTTCTCGCACTCCTGCGTCTTACTCAAGATCCCGATGTAATTTTCGGACTGCGCGCAGATCTCTTGCATCCAGTTGAACAGAAGTTGCAGCGTCTGAACGGGCGTGTTTCTGCTGTATGTTTTCGCTATCAGGTTGAGGATGACGGACAGGTGGCCGCTGGTGGGCGACGTCGTCGGCACGTCCAAAGTCCCGGGGAACATGTCGAGTTGCCGGCACCCGGTGGTGCCCATTATCAAACTGGAACTTGGGACGAAGTGATTGTACCTGTGACAGATTGTTGCGAACCGAGTTAATATCATTCCCGGACACCGTAGAAGAGGAGGAGGTTCTGGAGTTTACCTGGAACAGTGAGCGTAGAGCAGATACAAAATGCTGTACTGCAAAAACGGGTTGCTCGTAGACAACGTGGTGTCGTAAGGTCGCAGCTTGACCGCGAGGAGTTCCAGAATACTAGGTTTCAACGCCCACATTCCGATGATCGAGTTGCTCGCGTTGGCTGAAGGAGGAGAGATAAGATACTCGTTGAAGAGATTAAAATGCCAGCTACGCACGGTAGTGCGAATGATATTACGATTATTCAACGATTAGTGATAATGTTGGCCGAGTCAGATTTAAACGACGTATGGCTGCGTGTGACCGAACGCATTTAGACGCGATTGCAAACGCATTCAGTCGGCGACCACTCGGTCATCCCCAAACTGGTTCTAAGAGACGCTCGATAAGTGAGAAATGACACGAGCGGCGAGTTCTTCGCGGGATACAGCTGAATTTTGTTCAGTTTTCCCGGGAAAACGTGGCGGTTAAGTCTGGAAAATAATTGCTGAAATAACGGGTCAGTTTCCAGTCACTGCTGCCTGAGTGACTATGGCTGAAATATGACCCGTTATCTCGGCAATTATTTTGCAATTACACGCGACATATCGGACAGACACTCTTCAGTTCGCCGCGCATTTCAAGATTACGAAGCTGTTGCGTTTCCCAAGGAAAATGAAACAAGTCGGGCTACGCCGCGAAAAAAAAACTCACTGCATGTCATTTCTCGTCTGTAAACCAATATGGCCGCCGAGAGATAGCCTTGATACATTTGCAATTATAAATGCACCCGCTTAATACATTTGTATGTAATTACAAATATATTCACATAATAAATTTCTATGTAATTACATATATTCGCGCTTGATGTGCCTGTGCCAAATTACAAGTACGAGGGCAATTTGAAAAGTTCACGGCCTACTGTGCAAAGGTTAATAACGCGTTTCTATTTTTTTTTTTTTCTATCGCATCGTGGCCATCCGCCTTTTGAGCTGTGAAATATCGATTTGCCGAGTCATTGGTTAAAAATAGCTGTTTAAACAAAGACACCTTACAGCGCATCGTGCATTGAAAACGAAGAAAATTGGACATCGTGCGCAGCGTTGAGATATTAAAAAAAAAAAAAAAAAAAAACACTTATTCGCCTGATTTAGCTCTATTTTTTAACTAGCATTTCCCTAACTTAACAACGATTTCTCGGTGGGAAGAGATTTATTTTCCCCCCGGATGATGAGCTGAAAGTTACGGTTATTCGCTCGAGCTATCGCGACGGGATAAAAGCATCGCTGGAGCATGGCTGGAGTGAGTTCGAGTACAGGAATATGACGATTATATCGGAGGATAAAAACGACCTCGGTGAGAAAAAGTGAATAGTTTCATTATCGCGGCGCGAACTTTTCGAAATTGCCTCCGTACGATTCGCTCACCTATATCTGAAAGAGCGCGCAATATGAACGTGACTACGATCACGACGTCGCTTTTCACATATGCTAAGTCGTCCAGTGGATTATCCAGGACTAAACTGTCCATGTCCGGCAATACGAGCCTATAAGCGATTTCCAGATCGGCCAGTATGTAACGATAGGATTCCTGCAGCAACGGGATGTTTTTCAGACTAAGCAGACTGTGGTACACCCCGAGGCTCGCGTTCTGAATGGAAGTGGAGTTCCTGAATCGCAGCTTCAACAGCGTCGAGTTCTTGCCGAGCAGCTTGTGCACCAGTTCCAGCGGCAGATTCGCGGACACCTCCTTGATTATCTTCGAGATCGTGGTCAACATCGAGATAATGGTCTCGTCCCAAAAGATATCGACTCTCTGTAACTGTAGGTCAATAAAATTATACAGGAGCTCGTGATTCTTGGTGATGCGGCTCTGAAGGTAGCCCAGAAGCAAATAAGCGCACTCGTTCGCGACCACGATCAGTTCCTCCTTTTCTTCCGACAGCTCCTCGATTTCTCGCCTCGTCTTCGGCTCCATCGATCGCAGCAGGTTCATCAGGAACTTCTCCTTGGGCAGCTCCCTCGAATCGGAAGGTATCGTCGAGTTCTTCTTATCGTTTTTCTTCGTCACCGTCATAGACTTGATCATTTTAACGAGATTCTCCTCGGTGATCTCGTCCTTGCTGAAATGCTTGGAGAGCACCTCGGCGTGTTGCTGCGACGAGCTCACGTTCCTCGCGCGCTTGATCAAGCTCTCGGCGTTGTCGGCCTTCGACCAGTCGTTCTCTTCCTCCAGCTCGATCGCCTTCACGACGGTCTTCAACATTTTCGACAGGCAATCCGTCAGGAAGGACCACTGCACGCTGGGCGTGATACTCGGATTCAGGTTTTCGGATATGCTCTTCGTGACCGTGTTGAAGACCGAGATCAACGAGGTGATCCGTAGAATGCATTCTCTCGACGTCGGGGTGCCGGCATCGTCCCCGGGCGAGCTACGGCCGGAGTCCGCCGGCGGTTGACTCAGTTCCTCGTCGTAACTCTCCATGTCTTCGAGGAACTGGCCCAGCAACGTAAGTGTGAACTGCAGATCCGCGATCCAAAACGTACGCAACTTTTGCAAGCATCGGCTGGCGTAGGCGACCACCGACTTCTGCTGCGTGGAATCGATGTGCCAGCCCACCAGTATGTCCACCGTATCACGGAAGTGGTTCGTGAAAGTCGTCGGGTATGCATCTATGATGAGTAATATAGCGTCCACCGTCGCCACGAGTAAATCCGGTCTATCAACGTTCTCCAGTATCGATTGTAATTGGGACATCATCGGCTGCGTGAACAATGAACAGTTATTATATGGTTAATAGTTCACCTTGACTTTAATCAAAAAGAAGAGAGTTATTTAATACTTGGTCAACCTTTCACGTGATTTCCTAACGCTAAAGAATTCGTGCTCGGTTCGTGAGGCCGACTTTTGGGAAAATAGACATCAAATACAGGACGTATCTCAACTCTCTCTCTCTCTCTCTCTCTCTCTCTCTCTCTCTCTCTCTCTACTGACAAACTTACAGAACAGATTCTGTGTTGTAAAATAAGTAAAAAAAAGTCTTAGTAAACATATGTCAGCAAAAGCTTGGTTTTTAGAATAATAAAGATGGCCTTCAGAAAATGACAATGGAAGATTAAAGAAAATATGTAGCGATAAGCAGATTAAAAACGCTAATACTTGTTTCCACTTGTTTATAAAGATAATTTATCCTATCAGTTTTGATATTTGTGAGTATTAAAAAAGAATCATTCATTATGTGACGTTGATATACTGTTAATGTTTGTCCGATAGTGTTAGAAATAATAAAGCAATATTCGAACGTGTATGTGTGTCTTTACTCCACAAATCTCAATTGTGCATTGATAAGAGAGGCAGACATTTTTAACCATTTTTATAACGATATGTATCTAGTTATTTATTTAGAAGACACGATTTTATGAACAATATATGTATATATGTTTTTTTAACTAGGATTGTAGTAGCTATCGGTACAAACAGTGTATATACAAAGACACAAGAAAACGACAAAGATTATAAGAAATAAATAACAGATACAAGAAATATAGAAATATAATTGAATGGCGTTTCTTTTATTGTTTCTGGTGTTTTTGCGTAACTTTTTTCCTTATTTCCGCGTTTTTTCCATATGTTACTTATTTTCGTATAATCTTTATTGTTTTCTTATGTCCGTTACTTTTCTCTGTTTTTATGACTATATAGTATTTTCTATCTATATTACGCACGTCTAATATATTTTAGACACAAGTCAGAAGAGGGCAAGAAAGAGAATTAAGTCAACGAGCCGTTGATTATTATTATCTTATGTCGATTGAATACTCATAAACGAGCGTTTCTTTCTTGTGCGTGAAATGAGACCTCGCGAATTATACAAATCATGAAAGCGCGAATATACGGATACGAGGATATTGATCCCAACAAATTACGTGGGGTAAAATTAGTCCATCGATTAACGAAATAAATTCATGTACGAACGTTTGTGGTTTCCGAGAAGCGTCGGAATTTCGTGCCTCGTCCCGATTTGCGAGATCGATAGAAGAGACAAGGAAGGTTAATGTTACTACTCACTATGGAGAAATCTTTCAATTTCGACGTCTCCGAGTCCATCTTGAGTGTTTCAATAAGTGACTTCATTAGTAGGCATTTTACATCATCTTTATGTTCTAAGGAATACTTGTTGAAGGTCCAGTCCATGTAACTAGAATTGTGAACGACAGTTTTGTTAATTCGGCCGAGTTCGGCCATGAGGTCGTAAATATCAAGTGCTAGCAAATATATCCCGTTATATAAGACCGGTGAATTCACACATGCCTCTTGAAATCTTGATCTACCACATATCCAATTCGACCCAAACATCTCGCAACTTGCTGCTTTGCTTCCTGACCAGGGCCGGAATGCAGAATGTCCAACAGACTGTCGCATATAAACTCTAAGTTCCGTCGTATGTATCGTTGATTTTCAGGTGCCATGATACCTTCCTGTACTTGTTTGCAAAATGCCATGAAGTGATCGTAATCATCTTCGCGGCACAATCGGCGCAGGAGCTTGGAAATTCTTGAATCCTCTGAAGAAATCGTTCCATGAAGACGCGAAATCAGGCGCGATTTGTGAGAGCCCGCGAAATATTCGGATTATTTCATTCGACTACGCTTACCGTTTATTCTTTTATCATCGTAATATTTGCCCTGTGAATTCTCTTGGTTTTTCAACGATTCTTGAAACTTGGGTCTAGATGAAGAGAGATAGCCAGACTCTGAATTTGACTCGCGATCGTTGAGGGTCTTCTTGAAGGCCCTACCACCGCCACGTGCTCCACCTCTGGCACGGTCTGCATTGCTGCTACCACGCGCCATTCGAAACTCATTTCGTGGTACACCGCTGAGCCTGTGGAGATCAGTTTCACATTATCTGACTGCGATTAGAGCGTATGTTATAACCGAACGAAACGCATATATACGTGGGGAACCTTGGTTTGAATCTAGTATAGCCGTGATCTGACGAGTAGTTGGACGTTCGCTGACAAATGACCAGAGTGTTACGTGGTACATTAAAATCGCTATAACCACTTATCACACTGTTGTCTTCTTTGTTTATTCCTCCTCCTTGATTTATAGGCTCCTCTTGAGCCTCAACGTACTTGGATCCACGTAGCCTCGTAGTGCTAGTATTAGAGCTCCCACAGCTATTCATTACATTACTATGCAAGTGGTCTGCATGACCCACACACTTTATGGATGTAACCAGCAGTTACCTGCAATAGTTGATTTATTCGTGATATCAAGCAATAGATGTAAGTAAAATCGCCTCGTTAATTAATTATGAAAATAACAGCTGCGTGTGATAGAATTACGCCCAACAAGTGTGCTCTTGTATAGCTGAAGTTGTTAATTATACCCAAATTTGAGCATTGCTTAATATTGAGTCATCTAGAGGAATCTAGATGGTTCCATCAATGGATATTATTATACTACAGGGCTAAACAAGTATCTCGAGTGCTGATAAGGTGTCGCGCGGAAGCCAATCTATTAAATCGTTAATTTAAATATTTCCTTTGTTCAGTTAATTGAGTGAAACATCATTGATAGTCAGCTTTTAACACGCCGAGGATTGTCAAGGTTCACACGTGGTTTACCGCTCGTGGCAAACAAAAGAGGTTTTGTGCGTCGCATCCTCGATAAACACGATACACCTCGCGCGTAAACAGCATCTGTTGCTGATAACTTTACCCTCCTCCTCGCGCCCGAGATTTTGCAGTAAAATATTTCGAATAAGTCGCTTCTCACCGATCTCGAACAGATTTGGAATGAGTATGCAGCCAGTCGTAGAGAATCCGATGTCGGCCAACAAAGCCGTCTCTTCCAAGCGCTTTTGAAGAATTCCAGAAATTTCAAAATGCAAATTTCAGAGGTTATGAGACGAACACATTCACAATCTAGTAGGTTGGACTACTCTTCAGTCGGCGTGCATGATATCATGCTGCGCTGTTTCTAGGGAGTTTTGTTATTTGGAAATTGTGGGATCGCGGAATTTTCGCATTGCTCTCGCAGCCCGTATCAGATTGGGGATTGAGATTGAATTTGGCCAATCAGCGCAAAGTTAACTGCAGTCGGGTTTAGTGAAACCTAGTGAACTTTGCACCGATTGGTCAAATTTTTACACAATCTCCGATCCGTAATCCGATACGGGCTTAAGCCATTACTGCTTATGGCAATCTATGTGTGAAGGCCTTTATCAGACTTGGTCAATACTTATCAGGATTGGATTGAAATTCAACCAATCAGAGCAAAGTTTATAAAATTCAAATTTAACGAGTCTTGCTCTAATTAGCCAAATTTTAATTCAATCCTAATTCGTAGTCTGATACGGGCTTTAAACGTGGTTTACAACGGACAACAAAGTGTAATCTACAATGAGCAGCAGAAGGAGTACGTTCGTAAGAATAAAAAATTGACCAGTCATGTTCGAATATAATATAAAGAATAATCGACTATATAATTGGTTAATTACTTGCTTCTTATGAACGTACTCCTATTGACCATTGTAGACCACATTTAAGAGTAAGAAATTAACCAATCATAATCTCCTTACATTCGAATATGATTCGTCATTTTCTTAAGCGGCACACGATGCTTGTTTCCGTGTTGGATTGTTTGCTGGATGGACATACTGCGTTTTGATTAGTGTATTGTCAATTTTTGTAAATACACCAATCAGAACGCAGTATTTCTATCCAAACCAGTACGAAATAAGCATCGTGTGCAGCTGCCTTTATTCTCACTTATAAACATACTTCTGCTGCCCATTGTAGACTACGCTTTAATCGTAGGCCCTTTAATGTCGCTGTAAAATGTCTCAAGACAACATGGGTACGAATTGATATATTTTTTGTGTTAAGCACTTACGTGCATCACTTCATTCAAATTGATCGAATTGATTTTCAGTTGGTATTGACGTTCTCTTGGAGTTTTTGGAAGTAGCGTTTCATCATATACTATTCTGTCGTAAAATTTACCCTAAAGAAATATTCGTTAAGAAAAAGATATATGGAATTACAGTTCACATGTCGGAACACCCAGAATTAAATAAGTATTTTTTCAATGTTTTAAATGCAACCAGAGAGCTGATAAAGGAGGATGAAAACAGTGTTAAAACCATACATTTTACCTTTTATAATAGAGACAAATTACCGATAGAAAAATTTGTCTTTGATGTAATTAAATTGCGAGCAGAGTCAACAGAGTATGTTAAACAATTAATAACTGCAATTTGTAATGTATAATCTCGAATTTGGAGTTAATCACTTTATTTTAAGGAAGGATCCTTATTATTTAAAGACGGAAGAAGCCCTGAGAACGATTTGCTTAAAGATATCAATATGTGATACATACTTGGAACCCTTGCCGGATGGTTCAATTTTTTCTATAGAAATTCAAACATACGAAACTGCGCATATTACTTTGAGCGAGAATTCAAAATGCGAGGACTTTCCATGGATCGTTGAAGATGATGCGATAGAAATGGCCAACAAAAATTTACTGCCACTGAAAGATATCAAAACCGATTGTTTGAATTTGCAGATGTATGTGATTGAAGATGCGGAGAGCAAGGTTTAAATGATATTTAACACAACCGATACCTTTTTGTACTTTTATTTTGTGCGAAATATATTTTATATTTCTGATGGTAATTATCAAACTTGTCCCATTAACTTGGATATAAATTCTTTATCTCTGTTCCACAGAATGCTACAGATAGCATTTAACTGGTAGGAGCAATCAAACATTTCAGATCTCATTGATGATTTACCAGCATCGATTCTGATCACCTTGACTTTCCATTTATCTTCAAATTCTTTGATCTGTGTATCCTCTATGGCGGAACTTGACCAAGGTCTGAACCTAGGAAATATTGAATGACAAGATTATCATGATTTGTTTCTTCATGATGATTATTATATAATTAGTCATGTTACTTTGTGCCAATCACTATATTTGCTGGTTTCTCTTTTATAGCAGTTATTGTGTTCATCAGATATGGGATATCATTGAAGCTGGATATATCATCGAAGGAGAAGATAGAGCACATTGCATCAATCTTATCCTTGCACGCCTGACAGAATTATTACTATATTATTTGCTTTTGTTAGATTGAACGTATAGCTGTATGGAATTTGCACGAGATACTTTGCACGTACTGGTAGGATGTGATTATACTTTTTTATACTACTTTCCGATGTATCCCAGAATTGTAACTTAAACAAAACAACCTTATCCCAGATCTTTACAGGCCAGAAGACGTTAGTCTTTCTTATACCATTAGTCTCTGTGTAATTGTTGGCTTCCAGAATACCTGCGAGTCTAGCTACTACGGAAGTTTTTCCCACACCAGATCTGCCTATCATGAAAATTTTATAAGTGACTTCCTCAATGGAAGAGGGCAACGATGGTCTCTCCAAAATGCCTGTGGTTAAAAGTAATTCTTTGAGTACATGACACGGTATAATGAAATACATCATTTTGTTTATCGCACCATTAGGAGAGAGAGAGAGAAAAAAAAAAAGAGTACCATAGAATCTCCTCTTTTTCGGAGAATTCACGTAAAAGTGATGAACCAGAGATTCCCCTTCCGCCGAAGCTAACCAGTTCATATTGATCGCATTCATGTCTCGTTGATTTCACTACGGAGCATAAACATAATAAAATACATTCAAACACAACCAAATCTACAATTATTCAGTAGACCGATGAACGACATAATATCTAAACTGAGTATTTATATATATTTCTCTCTCAGTATTGGCTTCAGGCGACCATAAGTACTGCCCGAATACCATTCAACGGAGNTCTCTCTCTCTCTCTCTCTCTCTCTCTCTCTCTCTCTCTCTCTCAATATTTGGCTCCAGGTATTCAAAAGAATAAGACGTGCCCCAACGTCACTCAACGAATAAGGAAATACTTAATGTATAAAATGCGGCTTCGGAAAATATTCTACATAAGATGGGGTTCGAATTGCGTTCTGCTTAGGCAGCAACGGCTTTGTCAAAAATAAGCGGGTTCAAAACGAACAAAGGCCTCGCGAGCCCGTGCACACTCACGGGTCGTCGAACGAACACATCTGTACTCGTCAGCGACTCGCACAAGACTTAAGCTCTGTGCATAGCGGAAAAGCACAGGCAACAGTGAATAACACGGCCGATAGATTTCTGTTAGTCGCGGCTGCAGGCTGTTAGTCACCGGACTGCGGCACGCGATTGGATCGCTTTTTTTCAAACGATCCAGTGATTCTCCCCGGGGATACAGCTGTGTCGCGATGGCTCGCTGAAGGGTGAGAATAATGAAGAAGGTGAATCGTGTACTTACCGAAGGGCTTCTTCGGTGTCCTTACGAAATTCGATACTGAGCGGCATTGATCGATACTTCTTATCATCAGTGCTAATTTCACGGTTCTCACTCGTATAATCCGGAACTGTGGACTCCCTTTTAAAGTGGGTTCCGACGGGCTCTCTAACTTGGTCCCGAAGACACAAGCCTGTATTCATAGTCGAGTCTCAAGGCGTTATTTAAGAATCATCTTATTGAATGAAGACCGCCTTCAGATCGATATAATTCATAAATATGTATTAAAATAATCTCAGCGAAGGGGTTCTTGCCTAAAGAATTCTTATTCTATTTGAGACTATCTTCGCGAAGATGTGCTTAAGGTGGTACTTATCGATCATTCGGCTATTTCCGTGTTATTTCTTTTAGGTCAATTAATGAAAATGATCCTTTCTTTGAGCTAAGGTAGGCATTAATCAGTAAAATGAGATGTCAGCGTCAAAATACTCATATGTGAAAGAAAGCTCGGGAAAAAATTAAAATTAAAATTAAAATTGTGAAAATTAAGAATGTTGAAGATGTCCAAAAATAAATATTCTGCAACAACAGAAACGAAATTTTTCTTGGAAATATTCAAAGAATTTAAGCATATCATTGAGGTTAAAAGAAAAGTGATTCTTCAATCCTTAATGAAAAGGAACTTGCATGGGTTGAGATTTGTAAGCGATATAACGATTCTACCATGATTTTGCAAGAGGTAAATATTAAGAGGTGATTATCTTAGATTGTGCATATGAATTCGGTAAGTAATCTAGCAATCTGATGATAGATTGATAATTGGGTGTATTCCTAGATAGCCTAACCTGTGCGAGCGGATTTCGAATAATTAGTAAATGATAACATAACAACATTATATGAAAGTAATGTTGATCAGCAGAATGATGAAGAAATTAATATGTCAGCTTTAATTAACGATATACTAAAAGGTATGTTGAATTGAAATGAATTAAAAATTAAATATACATATACTTATGTACTTAACTATACTTAACTAAATATTATTCCCAAGAAAGCACGAAAAGATATTTTTTTTATATTGACATTATTATTTTTATATTTACTAAGTTATATAACTTAGTAAATATTATTATATGTGATAAGAAAAGTATATGCTTATTTAAGAATATTGCTTGTCAAATAATTTAGATTTATTATCGATTTTCAGATGTAACAACAATGGAAGAAATGACTAATGGAAGAATACCAAGATTTTCCATACGAAGGTAGTATAAACAATATTGCTTGTTTATTCTCTAGTATTAATAAAGTAACTAAATACTGTTCTTTTACAGTATTTCCTCTGAAGAAAAAGAGGAAATTGGATAATACTATCTGTACGCCACCAGTAATAGTGACAAAAGTAAAGAAAAATATAAAAGAAAGTTTTGTTAGCGAAGATGCTTTAAAGATCGAGAGAATAAAACAGATCATGGAACAAGAATATGGCAGACATGAGAAAAGTTCATGAAAAAAAATGACTGCAATGAAAGAAGATTATCAAATAGAATGATATGCTCTACAAATCCGAGAAGCTAAAGCAAAAGTCGAGTTGGCTGAATTACAAAGAGACAGAAAGAAAATACGTCATTCGGAATAGAAGTCTTTCAGGGAAAATACGGAAGTTTATGACAGTTTACATTTAGACCAAAAAGAAATATAGTACAAAGTATTAGGTGAGCAAAAAGGTTCTAAATGTTTTTCTGTAAAATTCAATCTTTATTCAAAAACAAACAAAAAAATATTAATCAGCGAGATATTCCCCGTTTGCATCAATGGCTATTTGCCATCTTTCGGGTAGTTCGCGAATTCCTTGATGATAGAAGCTCACCGGTTTCGAAGCGATAAAGTAATCAATGCATTTTCGTATCTCTTGAAATTTCACGAAATTTATATCGGCTAAATGATGGTGCGTCGATCGGAATAGGCAGTAATCGGAAGGCGCCATGTCTGGGCTTTCAAACCCTGCAAGAGAGTACATATGAAAATAAATACGTTTAACTTATTTTTAACTACTCGGCAACATTCCCGAAACCCATAAAAAAAAATCAGAAAAATAAAATAAACTGCGAAGACCCGTATCGCNGGGGGGGAGGGGGGTTATACAAAGGATAAAACACCGTGTAACATGGTTTATTATTTTTTGTATTCAAGGTATCTCTCGAATGAATGTTACAAGCAATAATATAATCAAAAGTAATCAATGAGAAGCGATGAAACTGATGAAATCAAATATTACACCTCTTTTCATTATTGGTCACATTGTCTCATCTTCGAATGATTGATTTTCTCGCAGTTATCGTCTTTTTCTCCTTTCTTTTTTTCTTCTGTGCTTCTTTTTTTTTTTTTCTTTAATAATTTGTACTTCTCTTGGCGCAATCTCTTGGCTCTATATAGCTCCCAAGAAACCGGTCGATTGCTTTCCAACGTCGATAGATTTGCGAGGTTTATCATATTTTATCGTATAACGATAATGATATCAAGAACGATGCCGCTCGATTCACCGGATTATGAATTACTTACAAAACGATAAACCGTCCGCGGGAGACCACGCTTATAAAAGACACGCTTGATCGAAACAAACATCGGCGTTCGGAGAGAATCAGTCATGAGATAATGTCCCATCTATTCACAAACTTTCGGCAGAGAGGAATTTTCTCACCGGTTAGAAAGGAAGAAGAATTAATCGTAAATTTCGATCTCCCGCGCGCGTCGACGGAAACGATACGCGAGTTAGACGAAACGCGACGCGTCACGACGAGACATGGTGTAAAAAAAAAAACAAAAGCAACAACGGAAAGTACATGTAAATCAAGCCGCATCGTTGCGATTTAACGACGGCAGACCGTTCGAGCCGATTGCCGTCGTTATTACGCGCGCGTATATTCCGCTTAATAAAATCTTGTCGAGATTTAAAATAACGAAACGCTAGTCATAATAATAACTTCCTCTAATTAACGATTATTTGGTAATATATATATTTATATTTTATATATATATAATATATATACATATACATAATATATATATATATAATATATATACATATACATATACATATATATATATATATATATATAAAGTAGTAGAAAAGAGGGAAAGCAAGTCCGTTTTCCTATATCTCGTAGATTCTCCTTCCTCCTTTCGTAAATACAAAAACGTAACGCGTAGTATCTAAAGTATGCATGTGTTCCAGGACGCCACGAGGATGGTCCGATCGCGCGGCCAAGTCAAGCGTGTTCGCAATCGGCGCGCAGACTGAATTCTCGAGACGTGAATTCCGAAACAGCGAGCAGCGAACCGGATGATGTGGTCGGTAGGAAAGACGGCAGTCTCGCTCGTCCGCGAGCGACCAATCGATCTCGTCTGGTCGGGTTCGCGCATTCGCGAATGCAATTTTGTCGAATTACCGAGGAACGGAAGAGAGAAAAATCGCTCGGCTGAGCGAAAATATCGAGGAAGGCTCGCGTTCAACGAAGGAACGCGTTCCTGAAAATTTGGAGCGTGAACAGACGAAACGATCGGAGGGGGGGGGGGGG